GAAAGTATTATGTTGAATACATCGATATTAGAGTTTAAAGCACGCATTTCTAATTCCAAGGTGTCATCTTACATTTGGACTTTGACTAATCTTACACACCCATACTACTACTCATTGTCCCTTAGAAACTTTTTAAGTTAATTTTCATAGGTGGCAAAACTACCAAGTATAATAATGTTACCCTCCAAGTGTTACTAAAGTTCGGGATTGGTATACGATGTTCTTTTAGACTTATTCTCAAATCAATTTAGGTAAACTCAATTCAATTCATTATTCTATTTTTGATTCAATTCAGTTTACTTCAATTTAACCGAATAGAAAATTACCATTAGTGTATTTGAACTAGCAATATAATCTAATCTTGTGGTAGTATAGACATATAAATCAAACAAATAATTTCAATCAAATTTATTAAAATTGAAAATAAAAATTACTGGTAGAATACGAGTAGAATAAATTTCGGCGGGTATATGGGAGCATTGAATACAAAACTCCTTTAATCACGGTCGTACAGATTTATAGGTTGGGTTTGGGACCAGATCAGATCTGTACCGTAGATTCTACGATGGCCCAAAAAGGCCCAAATTAAATCACAGCCGTATGTTCTAAGATCCGATAAAAGTGCTAAATCTTCAAACGGGTCACGTGACATCAACTGTCGGTAGCATAATATCCTAACAAATTTGAGACAAAACATATTTTCCCATAATTACCCTTCACTTTTCTGTATAATTACATGGCATGCCATTGGTTAGTGTTTACCTTTGTTTGATTATGAAATGAATTTTGTTTTGCAGCTGTTTGAGTTTGCTGACAAGTACAGGGGCAAATATGACAGCAGTATTACTGTGGCTCAGAAGTACTATCGTTCAGTCAGTGGTTATGCGGTATAGATTTTCTCTCTCCTACTTAAATTAAATTCGGTAATTAGTATATTTATTTAATGTACATTACCATCAACATTAAATAAGTGAGATGCAAACCTACTAATGATGCTTAAGGTTAACCAACTTCTCGAATTCATATTAATGGCTAACGATTTGTTAGTTATTATTCCGATTTAGGATGTGAAACTGTGTACCCATTGAGGACGTTATCTGGCTAAATGTATGCCATCTAGCCTTACTCTTTATCGGACTACCTATGTCCAACAAAGTAACAAACACTTTGTATGATATATAAGTGTCACCTTAGAATCAAAATTGGTTTCACAACATATTATGGGACAAAATTTGACAACTTTGCCTTCATTTGCTTTTGGATATGACATTGTAACTCGGTTGAATTAGTACTTTGTAAGTAACAAATTAAAATTGATATGGAGTTCGGAGTATTTTGAACTTTCAATTGGGATTGGGGGGGGGGGGGGTGCAATATGGTACATGTTAAAGATTTTAATCAATTCTGCCAAAAAAAAAAAAGATTTTATTTATGAACTAAATAATGATGGTGGCATTTATAATTTGTGTAGGATGAGCTTCTATGGGCTGCTGCATGGATGTACAAGGCAACCAATGACCAATACTACTTGGGTTACCTTGCCAAAAACGCTGAAGCTTTGGGCGGAACTGGCTGGGCAATGACTGAATTTGGGTGGGATGTCAAGTACGCCGGTGTTCAAGTCCTTGTTTCCAAGGTAAATTCCTCCCATCTGACTGAAGTATATTGATGGCTTCAAAGATAAAGTTGACTGTTGTAATTCTGTTTTTGTTGATTTACATGTCTAATTGATGATATGGCAAATTCTGTATTGCAGTTCTTGATGCAAGGCAAGGCAGGACCCTACAGATCAGTATTTGAGAGGTACCAGCAGAAGGCAGAATACTTTTTGTGTGCATGCCTTGGAAAGGGAAGCAAGAATGTTCAGAAAACACCCGGTGGACTGATCTTCCGTCAAAGGTGGAACAACTTGCAGTTTGTCACCGGTGCATCCTTCCTTCTCACCGTTTACTCAGACTACCTTTCCTCTGCTCGCTCAAGCATGCAGTGTTCTGCTGGCCGTGTAGCCCCAACTGAGCTCTTCTCATTTGCCAAGTCTCAGGTATAATTGTGTGCTTGACTACTTTGCTTCTCAATATGCAAGCGGCTTTATGTGTTTGTTGTCCTTATTTTGAGAATTACCCCTGATTAAGACTGCTTTTGCTAATTTCTTAAACTTCAGATTGATTACATCCTTGGAGACAACCCAAGAGCAACAAGTTACATGGTAGGATACGGAAGCAACTACCCACAACATGTTCATCACCGAGCTTCATCCATTGTTTCCTACAAAAAGAACCCCACATTTGTTACATGTAGGGGAGGATATGCAACTTGGTATGGCATGAAATCAAGTGATCCCAATGTTCTTACTGGTGCTACCGTTGGTGGGCCTGATGCCTATGATAACTTTGCTGATGAAAGAGACAATTACGAGCAAACTGAGCCAGCCACCTACAACAATGCTCCTCTTATCGGTGTTCTAGCTCGTCTGACTGGTCACAGTGGTTACAACCAGCTACTTCCAGGTAAATTCAATGGCCACAATGTATTAGAACTCTCAGAGATATATTAAGTGGATCGAATGTGAGTATTTAACGATGACTTTGGACAATTTGCAGTTCAAATACCAAATGTTAAGCCAACACCGGCACCAAAGGCCAAACGAACTCCTGCACCAAAGGCAAAGCCTACTCCTGTGCGAAAGTTCTATCCTACTCCAGCACGACATGTGAAACCAGTTCATGCTCCAGGTACTGATTTGCTTTCCTTAAATGATTCTTATGAAGCAAATTAGACTTGATCTTGGATCTGGCTGCAGCAAAGTAAAGGGATTATTTCACCTTTAACAAACTGTTTTTTTTTTTTTTTTTTCCTTCCATTGCAGCTTCATCATCTGCTCACCTTTCCATCAACCAGAAGGTCACAACTTCCTGGGTTCACCAAGGAAGAACATACTACAGATACTCCACAACAGTGACTAACAAGTCTAACAAAACAATCAAGGACATGAAGCTGTCTATTAACAAGCTTTATGGTCCTGTTTGGGGTCTTTCAAAGTATGGAAATACATACGGCTTCCCAGCATGGATGAGCGGCTTATCAGCTGGAAAGAGCCTTGAATTTGTTTACATCCACGCTTCAACTCCTGCTAGTGTTTCAGTCTCAAGTTACAACCTTTCCTAAGGAAAAACGGCTGTAAGTTCAGCAAGAACAGGAACACAAGTTTATTTTTCATGAACTTGGGGTTGATGTAACAATTGTGCAGCGTATACTAGAGTCCAGTCAAGTTATTATCCTTTTTCTTTTTCTTTTTGAGTTGATAGTTCTACATATATCACTGGATGATGATAGGGCTGTAGGAGAAGAAAGCTTTAGGGTAAATAAGAGTGTAAGGTTGGAGGACGAAAGGTGTGAAGAGACGAATTAAATATGAGTGCTCATCCTCTTTCTCCTCGCCTTGGCTGCTTATATATATAGAATTTGCAAGAGTAAGATGTGTAAAAGAGAGAAGAGTGAGAAACTTGTTGGGAGTCTTTTTTTAGTTCCTTTCATGTAGTTCTATAGAGAGTGCTTCTAATTAAGGTGTGACTTTTTCGTCATGTTTTGTGTTTGACGTTGTAAACTCTACAACATTTTTTCCTTTTCTGGTTTGAATGAGTATAGATTTCAGCATTTGTGTAATGATGTACTATCGTTTTCTAGCTCTAATTCTCTTAAGAGTTTTGTTTCACCCCTTCTTAATTTCTTATGCTCAGCTACTTGTTGGTATCATTATCAATGAGTTGACAATCTATGTCATACTTTATGTTAATGCAGTAAAGATTGTTTTCTGTTAGTCCGCAAATTCTAATGTATTTGTTCAAAGTTGACAGTCTAGTAGTGTACACACTGAGTTGGGATGTTGGACTTAGAGTACACTATTGGCTCGGTTGACACGTTTGAGCTGAGGTTAATATGCCCTGAGGCTTGGGGCACTACTGTCATCGCAATGCAGGTTTTGGGCCAGTTTGAGATGTTGTAGCTGTTTTCTTTTTGGAGTTTGCCTGTTCTATTGTTGAGCCAAGTGGTTAGGATCACACTGAGCGTTACCCATGTTACTGTCATCACGACACATGTATTGGGCCTGATGCTTGCAATTTTAGCTGTTCCTTACTTGAGCCAAGTTGTTCGCGTTATAGTTTGCAACTCGGGCATAAAGTATAAGTGCTGGACTTTTATTTGATGATGATTTGCTAGCTGCACTAGTTACAACGCCAACAAATGATATCTAAATCTTTTATTCAGCAAAATTTATATGATCATGGCGAATAACTAAGGGCCTGTTCAGTAGTACTGAATATGAGAATATCCACGTGTCCTTAGATGCGCGCCTGCTTGTTGGGGAAGAACAATTTAAACTTATTCTGATCGGATTGGGCTTTATGAATAATGAACAAGTTTATGTGATGCCCTTTAGAAACCTAATTACTTGCAAAACTACTTTATTTATCAGCAATTCATAGTCAAGTTCTGTCACAAGCTGCAGCTGAAGCAGTTCTTCCAGTAATGTTCTTAAAATTCAAAAGGGTTATAAGTTTATGACATCAATTGGAAGGCTTCTCTATTTTTTCAAACATCCTAAAATAGTATAGATAGTAGCATGTACTTGTATGAATTGGCTCTAGAAATAGGGAAATGTTTTTCGATACTGTGCTGCCACAGGCAGCAGTTGAAGTGGTTCAGCCAGTAAGGTTTTCGGAAGGATTACAATTGCACAAACGTACAAGTACCCCGTTGTCTTCTCTCTTGCATTAGATAACCAATCCGAACATAATAATATACTGCAACCAATCCAATACACCGTGAAAGAACAAAAGTTATGGAGATGCAAGATATTACAAGGCTAAAAAATAAAGCTATTGATCAATGAGCCTAGCTGATAAAAGCCGAAAACTGTTGATTAACTGATAATTATGCTGAGACAAAAATCACATACAATTGGTTAAAAGTCTCAGTGTATTACTCTCAGAAAATATAAACCAGTTACTGATTTATGTCTTCAAGAAAAACATCAACTTCTACTCTCTTCTACATGGTAGAACTATCGTACATAGTAACCGATAGTTAAAAAAAACACGATATAAAAAGGAAGGTACTGAAAGTCTAATATGATACACGTATATTAAAGACGGGAAATGATTTTAAGACTCCCAACAAAACGTTTCTTGCTCTTAGTAAGTCAAGAAAGAACATTACAATTACACAATTACGCGTTGTAAGAGTATAGTGCATAATGTAATTCAGGGAGGGGTTAAAATAATTAGCCATACAACTAATTATGTTTGAGACTATGAATCAAGTAGCTGATGAGCTTCCGGCATTGCCTTGACCCTTTCCCAATTCAACCACTATGACACTAATATTATCTTGGCTGCCGCGAGCAAGAGCCAACTCTACCAGCATGGCAGCAGAAGCAGCTGCACAGTTGCCTATTGACCCTTCCACCATTCTCCTACTGACTACTTCACCCGAACAGCATTTCCTTACTAAGTCGCAGACTGTTTCGTTGGACACCACGTCCCATAGACCGTCACTAGCAATCACCATGAAGTATTCTGATGTCCCGCGCTTGTGGACTGTCACCTCAGGAACGGATATCATAGTGACTCCATCGCGTTCACAAGGCTGCATTCACAAGGAGGAAGAAATTATTCAGTTGGATCAACAAGGTGATATCATATGATTCGAGTCATTTATAAAAGGAAATTTTGACAATTACCACCTTCTATTATGTCTATTTTAGCAATTACCACCTTCTATTTTATTTTTTATTTTTTTTGAAGATTACCACCTTCTATTTTCAAAAACATCAAAAGTTACCACCTTCATGCCCCTCAACTACCACGTAACGTCATTTTGGGCCCATTCTTTCCCTTCCCTCCCTATTTCCCTCACATTTCTCATTCCTATGTGGATTCTCATCTCCCCTTTCGCTTTTTTTCCCCCAAACCACCAATAATTGTTCGTCAATTTTGATTTGGAGGAGTGAATTGAAGTGTTTTTGATTGTTTGGGGAAAAAAAGTGAAAGGGGAGATGACAATTGAGTTAGGAATGAGAAATGTGAGGGAAATAGGGAGGAAAGAGAAAGAATGGTTGAGAGGCAAGAAGGTGGTAACTTTTGATGTTTTTGAAAATAGAATGTGGTAATTTAAAAATAAAAAAAAGAAAAGAAGGTGGTAATTGCTAAAATGGACATAACATAAGGTCGTAATTGTCAAAATTTCCTTTATAAAAAAAGGCAATCTATAATTAGGGAATTTGATATAAGGCCAAATTTTTGCAAGGACATAATAATGTTGTAAAATGACAATCGTTACAATCTGGCACAAATAGTTTTACTAGCCATCGTAATCTTTTAATCAGGACCATAATAAATATTATAGTCTTCTACGGGGTAGTATTTTTTATTACTCGCAAATTTACACATATCTACTCATGTAATAATGAATTGAACTTGGTCTATTACTATTATTCCTTAGCTATGTGAAAGCAAGAGGTTACCATTTTGGTTATCCTTGCACATTTGTCTATAAATGATGTACAACATAACAGAGAAACTACATTTAAGGCGAATGTAACAATGTAAGAGTGGCTAGCTCCCAACTATAGAAGTTATAGAACAGTGTATGTTGAACCCTCAACTCCTCAAGGGTCAAGTACATTTCCGTTTTTGTATAGAAAATCTCTAATATCTTACACGTTGCTCCAAAAAATATATAAAACAAAGTAAAGCCGATTTTTTTTTTTAAAAAAACTTATCTTTAGGTATCTAACATGTTAACCATTTAGCCTTATCAGCCCCTTTAAAAACCAGCTAAACTGTAATTAAAAAAGAAGCGGAATTATAAATTAGGATACCACGAGTCCAGCCACGACACAATGATCCTAGCCACAAATATATAAAATAGTGATTAATAATCATTTAAACGTGGATTTTAATATTTATAGATTAGATAAGATCTTTATGACGTGGTGATCTTGAATTCTAAACTTATTCATATTATACACATAAGATACAATCATAGTAAGGTAAGGAATATTAAATTTGTAACCAAATAAAATCATGACCAGATAAGTTGAATCAAATATGCAAAATGCATCAAAGATGATTAGAATAGAATAGAATAACTTGCATAAACAGAAACCTTAGGTAATGGACATGGTTGTTTATTATTAGAAGGGAAATGTATGATCGAGATCTAACCTTAAGGTCACGTTACAAGGGCAACACGGCACCGTCACAGAACAAAACAGCTCTAGAATCACCACAGTTAGTCACCACAATCTCCTCCTTGCCTAACATGACCACCAATGCGGTAGTCTCTACCGCCTCCTCGGTGTTAACAACCGAGGTTTCAACATCCTCCGCTGCTAACTCACTGGCCATCCTAGCAAAGCTGGTGGTCATCACACTCTCCCACTGATCCACCCGGCCCGTGACAAGGAGCTGCTCCGCCACGACGTGGTGGAGCCTCTCCTTACACCTCTGTGCTACCCTATAGCTACCATGTCCATCATACACGGCGAAGAAATCATAACTCATCAACTCATCGGACAAGTCGTTTCTCCTGCTGGTAGAGTGGAACTTAGTGACTTGGACTAAGGCAGGGGCAATAGTGACAGCATCCTCCATGGATCTTCGGCGTCCGATAACGGAGATTACGCCGTGGGAGATGGTGGTGTTAGTTGGTGCATCCATGGTTTGCTCCTCAGTTTTAACCAAACCCAATACTTGCTCCCCTTCATTTAAACTGTTTTGATGATCATCTGCATATAAATATAGCATTAGTATTTTTCTATTGGTTGGTTAAATCAATTATTATACTACCACTTGTATTAGTAGTACAGGTCAAAGACTTTGGTACAAGGAAACTCGCCCTTACCCCCCGACCTGATGAGGAGTATGTGAATTAAATGTTCAATCAACTTGTATTTTTATACAATTGTATTATTATTGGCTTATAAGTTATAACATTCCAAATTTCCAACTATTTTGTGTCGGGTAGGGTGCAATCAAACTACATCCGGATCCGGCCATAGGTAAATAAGAACATATGCACGGGATGTTAATTAGTTTAATTTGTTGAATTTTTTGCAAGTTTTATAGTTTTATCTAGCTATTATATATATATTTGACATATTATCCGCGTGTCTTGGCTCTTTGCCAGCTTGTAAGTTGTAACCCAACAAAATAAGATGAAAGAACAAACGTGTACTATTATCTACATTAAAAAAAACTACTATTATTAATCAATTAACATGCATTACAATAAAATATACTCCATGATACGTATAAAAAGTATTGAATATGTTATCATTAAGCAGAGAATATATAGAAGCTCAGAAGAAGAGAGGTTGAAAACAAATTCAATCTTGAACTTCTATATAATTTCATTCTTGAAGGGATTTATTTTAATTAATGCTATATCTAACGCTAAGGGCTATATATAAGCATTAAATACCACAAACATGTTTTTCTTCTATATTTCATTATTTAGTTCGTTATCATTATCAACTTTGATCTAGGTAAGTATATTGGAAGGAACAAGCATACAACGTATTCTATGATCTCTTAGGAAGTACTCCCTCCGTTTTTAAATACTTGCTCTATTTCTATTTTTTGCACCATTCATTTGTCCTATTTTGACTAATGTTAGAATCATCTCAATGTTTAGATTATTAACTTTCAATTGTTAGAATTTATACTTAGTGGTAATTAAACATTAGCATCGACATGTGTGTCCAAGAGAAATGAAGCAAGTAGTTAAAAACGGAAGGAGTATATGAGAAAATTGAATTGGATTTCGTAGACAAATTCATCACTATTACTACCATTAAAAATTGTTGATAAATAGGTCGTGAATATATACATGATGGTTGTATTAATTCACTATTAATGAGGACGAACGTATGTAAAATATACATGTGCGAATAACTAAATATAAAATGAAAGGGGGTTTATCGTCAATTCCGTACAAAAATGGTTGACTTCAAACCCGCCTATTTAAGTATAGATCTACATATAATATACATGATGCTTGCTTCTAATTTAAAAGAATAGGTACTAGTAATTATTTTGAAGAAGGGTGCTCCTTTTATTTTTAAATACATCAATTAAACTGATACGTGATTTTAAAAAAATGAGTTGAATGAAGTAAAAGGAAAATTTGTCTGGAAGGGACTAATATATTCACCATTTTGTTGAGAAGGACCTTTTATGTCGAAAGTTATCTAAAAGGACCTTATAAGTATGTTTTGTTGTTTATAAAGACCTTGACATCGGAATTAAAATATAGTGTAGATTTTTTGAAAAGTTAGAAAATAATAAAAAAGAAAGACATAAATAATACTCCGTAAGTTTTTATATGGACTTATTAAATATTAGTGATAAGAAACGAGAGAAATAATAAAATAAAAGGGGGGATTATGGTTGGAGAAAGATAAAATAAGAAAAATAAATTAAGATGTTAAAAAAGGAAGTTATGCACTAAAAAAAAGGTAATCAATTAGAATTATTAGACTCTTTAAACACCTAATTTGATTAATTTATTCATAGATTATGAAAATTATTCATTCTATAATAATGTTAGGGGTATATATATTTCATATGAGTAAGTCATTTTAAAACGTTCAAAATACTAGTATATAAAACTAACAAAGTAAAACAGGGGGAGCAGATAGTTTGCATTTTTTTTTTAAATATATGTTGAATAGACAACAACAAAGGGAAACGGAGGAGTAGAGAATATTTAATAAGTAAAGCATTTTTTTATACGTTGAAAAAACAACAAACTCCTCATAACCTTATTTTTGTTTTGCATACATCATGCACATCAAATACCATAAGCACATAGAAAGACAAAAAGGATTGATGATTAATAGATTAAAGTAATTATAGAATTTGTAATAATTCTGAAATAAACGTGGGATCAGCATGTAAACAACTACGTACTAATCAAGCTAAGTTTACAATAACAATACAATTCATTTACCTAGAGGGGACGTCGTTGTAGTAGACGATAGTGACGCCGAAGAAGACGAAGAGGACGCCTCGTAGCTGTTTAGTTGCGGACTGCTTGAAGCGGCCGAGTTGCTCAGACTCGCCGCTTTATCATGGACCAAACACGAAAACGGCACGGTGGTTTTGTTGTGTTTTTCATGGTTAACTTTCCTTGACCCCCGAAGAGTACTCCTCTTCGGCTGGCGGCGGCGGTTATGTATTACACCTATCATAAGTTTAGATGCCCTTAATTTGATGGACTTACTAGGGTGATACATTTCTTCACTAGTAAAAGAAGGATGAAGAAGAGAAAGAAGAGTGGTATAGAAGAAAAGTGGATTCATCGGTTGTTTTGAAGATGTTTTATTGCTTCTACAACTTTCTAATGTAAATATATATAGGATATATAACTAGGCAAGGGGTGATTCATTGAGTGTATGTAAAAAGAAAGGATTGTATATTATACAAGGTGGACACATATGCATGATTCATAGTAAAGGGTCTATCCTTGTAAACATTGTATTGGATTCAACAATGAGATTGTTCGGTTTATTCAGTCTGTCTATTGTTTTAGTATAAATCTTGTTAAACTGACACGTATAAATATCTTCTCAAATAAAGTTTAATTTGACCGTCTAGGACTTTAAAATTATTGTCACATTATTTAACACGTATGTATAGAGTAGTGATATGATGATCCACAAAACATTGTATACATATTATCATTCAACTTCATTCGGTTTATTTTGATGTTGTACGGAATGAAGCATCTTCTTGTTACATGGTTCATACATCTAATATAATGATTATGATCGAGGGCCTGTATACGATAAGTCACAACTTCTAGTAATAAACGGTGACCGGTACTTTAATCTGAGGGTAGAAAGTGTATACGTAGTATGTAGTATAAATGTACAATGCTTGTGAGAAATGTGAATGTGGTATATCGCAAACTCTAATGACCGAATTCAGGGGAGTTTGAAAGAAGGGAGGGTGTAGGTGGACGGCTGAGATTGAAAGTAAAGGGTACAGATGTAAGGTGAAAAAAGAAGTTTAATCCGTGGATGATTCATCATCAAAGGTTACAAGTATATAGCTCCCCAATATTTGGACAACGTGTCGTTTAAGGATGTCGCGGTTACTTGGACCTGAGAATTTTTGGTAGCTGCCAATATTTAACAAGTTCATTTTTTGGCAGCTTCAAAAATCAATTATACTTTGACACATTTTAATTTTAAATAATCTCACTTTAACTAGCTACTCTATCCATATGTTTCCTCAATTTATAAAGAATTAAAGATCGCAAATAAATTCATTTTTATATATCCGGACAATGCTTAAATTTCAACAATGAAGAATATCTTTACTTATTATCTAATAGTATTAATACATTTTTTGATGTAATCATATAAATATCGAAAAAAGGTTGATATTTTTTTTTGGTTGCTATATTATCATATATCTTTCTTTTTATGATCTTCATTTCGGTCATTCTTTATTATTACTTAGTATTTATCATCTCTAATATCCGATCCCTTTGTTTACATTAGAAAAATATTTATTAGAGAAAAAAAAATCAAGTGTCAATTATTCATGGACAGATAAGTATAAGTGTATTATGTAGTGATTAGCTAATTGCATTACATTAATGTTTGCATATATGGAAGATTGGTTGATACAATTTCAACAAGCATTCAACTTTTAATGAATAAAAATTTTCATGAAAGAACATAATTGCATAAGTAAGCAGTTTTTAATTTTCATGAAAAACCATATATAAGTGCATAAGTAAGCAATTTTTTTTAAAAAAAATAGAGAAAGAAAAATTAACATTTGCTATCAGCGAAAGACCTTGTTTCACATTTGCTACCTATTTAAAATTTTATTTTACTTCATTGATAGCAAATGTCAAATTTTTCAAATAGAAATATGCAAAAATTAGGGCAAAGTTAGAGTAAAGTAGTTTTTCAAATTTAGTAGATTATTCTTCTCTATATTAAACATGCATAAAATCTATTGTGTAAACCTTTAACTTGCTTTTAAATCACTAAAAGTTAAGCTAAAATAGACATATCAAACACATTAGTTGAGTTAAAGATAAAGAAATTTTGACTTTTGTCATCTTGCTACCTTGTTAACAATTTTAGGCTATTATCGAAAGTTACACATAATATACAACTTTAAAATAGTATAGTGCACCCGGGTGCACCATGCGCATGGTGCACCCGGAAAGAACATTAGACTTATTTTAAAGAACATACGAGTGTTTTAAAAAGAACATGCTAGTATTTGAAAAAGAACATGCATAATAGTGTTCAACACAAGAACATGTTTGTGTTTGACAAAGAACATGACCTCCGAAAAGAACATTAGGCATATTTTAAAGAACATGGAATAAAAAGAACATGTTAGTGTTTGAAAAAGAACAAGCTAGTGTTTGAAAAATTAACTTTTCTTGGTTATCTTCCAGTTGGCTTCAATTCATTACTATTCTTCTTTCTCCTCTAATTGTTCTTTTTTGAATAACTTGTATTTTATAGCTTTAATTTTTTATTTTATTTTTTTAAAAAAACCCCAAATTCACAAAATTAAACACTTTGACTTTAAAATTATTGACGAAAAACAATTTGCATGTACAAAATTTATACTTACATTTTACTTGAATCCACCATTTGTTTAAGTTTGAAGGTTGAATTGTTGAAATAAGTTCAATTTTTTTCTTGGGTTTCACTTTGAAGATGAACAATTTTACTATTTTGAAATTTTTTTGAAAAATAGAAAAAAAATAGAGAGAAAAGTTATGGAGAGAGAAAATGAGTACTTTGGAAATGATTTTTACCCAAATTCATTGAAATTCTTAAATGAAAACGATGGTGTAAAGGAGAGTAAAAATTGGCAGCAAGAAAGAGAGTGATAGGAAGGGAAAGAGGAGTGAGAAATTGCAGGAGAAGAGAGTGATGGATTTGAAGTTGCAAGAAAATAAAAACATGTTCATTTTTTACCCATGTTCTTTTAAATATACTAAATGTTCTTTTGGGTGCACCATACGCATGGTGCACCCGGGTGCACCAACCACAAATTATATACAACTTATGTAGTAAATTGTTAAATTATGAACTTAGGTCAAACAATGCTCGTTTATGATCCAAAGTTTATCTACTCGTATAAATGAATCAATCAGGACGAAAATGGCTGGATTAAACTTGACACATTATTTTCAAGTTTGAGAGGGGGTCAATACTCAATAGTATCATTATTGACCAATTTTAGAATTAGAACACAATATACACAAAGCCAAAGTGCATAAAACTTGATGTGGAAAACAAAAGTGGTCAACAGAAGACAGCCATGAAAGAAAGTAAGCTCGAGGAGAGAGAAAGAGTGACAAAAATGGCGAATATCGACAGTAGACTTGCGAGGATGTGCATTGATGCTGCGACTGATAGCAGATACGCCGTCGATAAATGGCGGTTGCAGCGCCGATCTCTGGAACGCCTCCCTTCGCCGCTCGCTTCCGCTCTTCTCCACCGTCTTTTGCATCGCCGTCTTCTCTTTCCTTCCTTGCTCGAGTTAGTTTGTTTCTCTTTCTTTCTCTTTCAATTGTATTAATTCATCATTATTATTGTATCTTCAATTCATACTCGATGGAATTCGATTTTGTTTGATCAACTTTGAATTATGTTCAATTGTTGTGTCAATTCACGAATTGATGATGATTTTATATTTTCAAATTTTTAATTCTATGTTTTTGTTGCCTGATAACATTGTTTGAGGGTTAGAAATCTAATTAGTTGAATAGTGAAAGAGTACATGGATCTTTGGTAATTTTCACATCCTTTGATTATGGAAATTGAATTGTATTGACAACTTTCAATTCAAACTGTGTTAGCGATTTCTATTATACACGCGATTGTACCTAGCTCGCGCTCCAAATGAGCAGAACATAGGCTAGGGTGTGCCTAGAGCTATAATGTACTCTGAAATTTAGAGCAAGAGTGTTATGATTTCTATTTCTTATGCTCTCAAATTTGTGATTTGGCCAATGTTTGATTTTGTTCTTTGTATGTGGATTTTTGTGTAGAGTGTTCAAATTTAGTGTAGAGGAGGTTGATTTAAGCGGGGAGAACTCGGTGGATGCGGAGTGGATGGCTTACTTGGGAGCATTTTCGTATTTGTGCTCCCTCAATGTGGCAGACTGCTACCGGATTAATAACCCTGCGCTTTGGCCTCTTGCAGGTGTACATTTTCTTCCGAGATTTTTGTTTTATTTCCTGGTTCAGTTGTGTGATTATGATTTTAGTATTGAATTAGAACATGAAGTCTTTAGCCATGATATTCTCTAAGTTCTTGGGTGGCTTGTGACATATCCTGTTTTCATAAAAGAGTGTCTTTGATGGGCATATTTCCTGGTAATAATGGATCACCTGTTGTATTATTTATGCATGTATGTTGGACAAATGGACCACAAAGGTCTAGTTCTTCACAGTATTGGTTCGATTGGATGGCTGAGTGGCTTGTTATGATGTGTTTATTGTTAACTTTGCCCCTCTGGAAGGGGAAAAAAAAAAAGAAAAGAGAAGTTGGTACTGTATTACCTTGCCAAAGATTTGTGCACAGGACAAGTTTGTGTATTGGAAGGAATGGAATTTTTTTTTTAAAAAAGCAAAAAAGTGAGTTTGGGGTGGGGTGGGGTGAGGTGGGGGTGGAATAGTAGTCTTTATTTTCTGTAAAACTTGCTGTTTGGAACTTCATGTATATGGAGAATGCTGCTTAACTAGCTCATGCTCATCTATCATATTCAGGGATGACCAGCTTAATGCAGCTTGACCTTTCAAGATGTATGAAAGTCACTGATTCTGGTATAAAACATCTTCTATCCTTGTCACAACTACAGAAACTTCACCTCTCACAGACAGGAGTAACTGCTGATGGTGTAAAGCTTCTCTCTGCACTTCGGAATCTATCTACACTGGACTTAGGAGGGCTGCCTGTTTCTGATTTGGCATTGAGTTCCCTCCGGGTAGGGTTTTATTACTCTGTTGATGCTTATGTTACTGGCCTCTTAATCCTGCAATACTTTACTTTTTTCACAGTAGAAATGCTGTAACATGTGATGCTTTGCACTATTTTCTCCGCATAATAGGAATTGACAAACCTTGAGTATCTTGATGTTTGGGGGAGTGAAATATCTGATGAAGGGGCTGCAGCTTTAAAGAACTTTCCCAAGTTGAGTTTCTTGAATGTAGCTTGGACCAATATCACAAAGTTTCCAAATCTGCAGTCTATTCAAAGCTTGAACATGAGCGATTGCACCATCCTTTCTGCATTGGAAGATAAAAGTGATCGAGTAACCCTGAGAAAGCTGATTGCCCATGGGTCCTCATTCCCGGAGGCCGAGATGGTCTTTTCAACTATTGAGGCAAGCTGTCTGTCTTTCTTGAATCTATCAAACACCTCTCTTAGTAATTTTGGTTTTTTGCGTTGCATGGTTGCTCTAGAACAATTGGATCTTAGTTCTTGCACTATACAAGATGATGCTGTTGAAGCAATTTCTTGTATAGGTGCAAATTTAAGACACTTAAATTTGAACAACACAAAAGTCAGCAATGCCGGATTGGAAACTTTGGCAGGACATGTTCCTAACCTTGAAGCTCTGTCATTGTCTCACACACTAATTGATGATTCTGCCATAGCATACATGAGTACGATGCCTTCCCTGACGACACTTGACTTGAGCAATACAAATATTAAAGGTAATTTGGAACTTGGATTATTGATACAAAGTATTAAATAGTGTTGAGCAAAAGTTGAAATGACATTTTTTGTCAGGCTTTATTCATCCGAGTAGGAATGAAGATGAAGTCTTCTCGCTAGCTGCATTACAGGACCTGAAGCACTTGGAAAGGTTAGATTTGGAAAAGACCAAAGTGAATGATGCAGCTGTCTATGCTCTATTAGGTTCTGGGGAGCTAAGCCATTTATCACTTAATAGCACCGCCCTTACCGACAAGTGCCTGGAATATCTCTCACAAGTAAAAAAGCTGGTGAGACTTAGCATTCAGGGTACTCTTCTGACCAATGGGGCAGTCGAGTCGTTCAACCCACCTGTAACACTCGAAGTGCTTGATTTAAGAGGGTGTTGGCTTTTAACCATTGATTCTCTGAGATCATTCTGTAAGAAGTATCCTGGTATCAGAGTGAGGCATGATCATCTATCTCTAGCTTCAGCAGACCTTAACTGCTCCGTCCCTAATGCAGCTCTGTCACAGAAGAGCTTGAAGGCCTCGAAGTTGAAACAAAGAGAAGGAAAATCATCCGTATCACCCACCTTGTTCAACAAGGAGGCATTAGGCAAGTATAGTATTCTTACTCCTGTATCTAGCTAGTCATTTGTATTGTGGTCTTTATCTAACCCCTGATCAATATTTTGATATAGATCAAAGGATTAAGTATAGTAGAGAGGAGCTGATTACCATGCAGCACTTATCACCACCACTTGCTCCACCTTTAGACGTAGATATAGCGGCACCAAATATGGATTAGCTCTCACAGTTTTGTTCTCATCTGTCACCCGCTGCAAGAATTGAACAATGACCAATATTCTCTGTAACCTAAGATCAACGAAGTATTGTAAGAACTTTTATCATGCATCTTCAGTGTAGTGTTGACTGGCGTGATTGCTGCATGAGGAATGGTCACATGTTTTAGATTCTTTAGAATCCGCCGAAGTTTGTTCGCTGTAACTAAAATGGAAGGGATTGCCAAATTCTAACCCAAAATACCATTTTGTATTGTTCAGATGTGTATGTTGTATCTTCATGATTCTTTGTATTAGGGGTTAATTTGACCAATGTACCATTTTCCTTTGTCGTTTTAACATGCAATGAATCCTTGTAATAGGTAAAATAATAATATGGAAATTGTTCATTGGTAACCTTGCATTTTGTCTGGTTATGGCCATGTTTGGTAATTAGAGTTTTGACAAAAAATGAGCTTATTTGACCAAGTTAGAGGTTTGACTACATAAATCATCTAATTTGGTTGTTTGGTAAAAGTGCTTTTTAAACGAGCTTATTGAGGCAAATAAGCTAATTTGTAAAAAGTTTAAATATAGAGCTTTTTAGATTAGCTTATTGAGTAATGGATGTAAATAAGCTAATTTGTAAATAAGCTAATAAAAAGACAATTTTATCCTAAAAGTTCCTCTAATTCACATTCTTGCCCTCCCAATTTCTTACCCTAGTCAAGTAAAAAAAATTTATCAATGTCCTAAATTGTCATTTTATATATTCAACTAACAAACAACTACAAATAATAAGCTAATTTTACCAAACAACTCTACAAAAAACCTCTTATAAATCAACTAGTTTAAAACAGCTAATGCAACCAATTAGTCAAAACAGCTAATGCAACCAGCTCTTACCAATCAGCCAATCGCTAATTACCAAACATGGCCTATATTTGCTTATCAATTTACAAATGGGAGTGTTCCAATACTCAAATTCTAAGCCCTTGAAAAAGTCAGGTAACTTCCCAATAGTTATATGCCCTATTAACTTCTTCAATTGCATTGTGGCAAATAATGTCTAGTGCATTATCAGGGGTAAGAAGTGGCAACAAGAGCAATGGAAAATTACCAGATCAAATATGCTAGGAAAATGGGTGATTTGGTATACTTCAACTATTGTTACTTTGAGTCAGCTTTTAACCTCTAATAATGTTATGTTGTCCTACTTTTTTTTTGAGGGAAATGTTATGTAGTCCTACTTGTCCAAATTGCATATTGTGATAATCACTTAATGAGACATTAAGATTACCAATGAAGATTTTCCTAATTATGTTGCAAATCTCACATCAACTTGTACTTTGATATTTATTCTCCAAACATATCCTCATTTGTGCGTAAGTTTTGATAATGTGGTCAGGTTCCTTAAACACGAACATCAATTCCTTGAACACATCATTTGTGGAGGTCACTATGAGCGCGTTTCATGGTCTAGTAACACGACCATAAAATCTAGAAAATCAGCAGATCAACTCCTGATTATTCAAGGGAGGATATACATTAATTTTTAAGTGTATTGTGAGTCTGCTGGTCAGACATTACAAGTAGTACCACAAATGGTCAGATGTTTATCTGACCCTTAAAATAATAAGGATGTAAATTTCACATATATAATGTGTAGATAAATGACTTCATATTTTCTTATATAAAAACATCAGGAAAAAGACTCCAAACATTCAATTCGATTTCCACTATTGCAACTGTAACCTGTAATTTTATCAACTGTAGGTGAGCATAAATGTACAAGGGATCAAGAGACAAAAACAAGAAGCACAAAGTGAGCTACATAAATAGTGATGAGCAGGTCTTCAAACACTTTGTTAACTTGAAGTCTTGTACATGTCATCGATAATACTCTGCATCACAGGGCATTAAGATCAGAACACATCTTTAAACTCTGCATAGTTGTATTACGAAGTATTTATGTCTATGATGGATTATTGGAACTCATCTAAATTCTACGGACAGGCAATAGGTTATTCAAGACTTCTTATTTTACATATTATTAATGGTTTGTTAAGGGGAAAGAAACCGAAGTGAGGGGAGGGAATCAGGCAGGCCAAGTTAGTATTTAGAAGCTCGTTCTTAACACAACAATAATATCTATTATTCTCGGGCACACAAGAATGACTCACTTGATAGTATTTAAGCATCTGCGGCCTCTTCTTTTTAAATGTTGGGGTGAGAAGGTCGCGCTCAAGGTCAAAGGGCACCGGGTCCAGATGAATAGCTTTGATAAACTCAAAGCCTTTTAGCTGTTCACAGCAAAATGAAAGTCAGAAGAGCTCAAAATTTTTGATATTTACTACCACCTAGAAAGGGTGGAGAGGATTAAGTTACCTTCTTCTCTTTTCCAATCTTCTTGAGCTCTTCCAGTATGAATTCCTTTGCCTTGGGATTTTCGCACAGAGCGTTGAAATCCCCATTTATCTCATTGGCTTCAGCCCAACGTGTAAGTGCACCCTGGTTGGGATTAGCAACTGCAACAAGGAATGATTGAAAACTATTCCCATAGATCCATATCTGAAATTGAGAGGGAACTATTAGTGTGTACAGATGAACAACAAATTGCATGTATATATATGAACAACATCTTCACCCAGGTAAGAGGTAATCTATGTCAGCTGACAATGCCAAATTGCCAATAACATTAAGTATTCCGTAACTATTGAGACATGAAATTCAAAGAAAAATCCGTTCCCCATTTTTTGAGATGCCTTTTTTTGGATATGACATGAAAAAAAAAAAAAAAAAGAAAACTCTAAGGGTCAATGTATTTTGCTCAAGACAACGTAACATTTAATTATTTGCTAGAACTTTTTGAAAAATCTAGGGTAAATTTTTTATTATTCTTTTATTGTTTTCTAAAACATTAGCAAATTACATAATGTATGGATTTTTTTAGCTTCAGATGATAATTTCCTTTGCTAACTCCTGGTTTCACCAAATTGGTCATATGATTAAACAGGGGAATTCAAAAAACTATTCAGCAAAGAGTGAACATTTGAGGATAATACCGAGTCAACGGCAGAACAAAGGCCATATATGTTCTCCAAGTTCTCAACTGCAACATACTCCCCTTGTGAAAGCTTAAAAATGTTCTTTTTACGGTCAATGATTTTCAGACTTCCATCTGGTTGCCATTCTCCAACATCACCTGATATATGCAACCTCATAAGCAAGTTATCATAAAAAAATGTAGAGTTTAGCAACACACTGGACACTACCACAAGAAAGTTCATTTAACTTTTACATACCTGTGTGGAACCATCCGTCAATCAAGACTTCCTTCGTGAGGTCTTCTCGTTTGTGGTAGCCTGAGAAGAGAGTTTTTCCCCTAACACATATTTCTCCACGTGGCGTGTTAGCAAGAGCATCATATCCCATCTCAGGGACAGACTCAAGGCATACATCCACATTTGCCAGTGGAGGGCCAACTGTCCCAATCATCTGAAGCTCATTTGGCAGTGAAACAAATGTACCCGCACAAGTTTCAGTCAAACCTGCATTATTATTACGAAGAGAATAAAAATTCAAGAAATAGTTACTGTCTTTAAAAAGTACAGTGTATAACTGAACAGTTGAACACTAAAGGTCTAAAGTATTTTAGTATCAACAATCCCCTGACATGTATATTCTCTACAAGGGAACATTAGTCTTGTATACAACTCTGGAATCTCCAATATAGCTGTTTAAAAAATAAACAGACTAGGAATGATTTCCTAACTTACCCCCACTGATGTGGAATGGTGGAGACTTGAGAAAGAATGGAAGGAGACAGCTATTTTACGTGAAATTATGATCAATCCTTAAGAGTAGGACAATGAGACCATTAATTTCAGGAGGCAATGCGTAAGTTTTGCAACCCTTGTGCTCCATATAAAGTTAATTTCCTTTCATTATGTATTGTTAACAGGATGCAAAAGGGTAAGCTTCATACATCCAGCATGATTAAGCCTTTGTATACTGGTAAGTGGCTATCACTTTCAGCCAAAAAATCTTTTTGGAAAAGGAAATACAGTAGAGAAATGAACCAAATAGAATAGAAGTAGCTGCAGAGACTGCAATTTGAGTGTTGTCAACCCATGACAATTTGACAATTCAAAATGCAAATCTCTCTGCGAACAATAACTACTGATTAAAGGTGTAATTTTGAGCTGAACTAAAGGTGTGTTCTCTTCACTTGATTTTAATTTATGATCGGCTTATTACAGCTTATCATAGTAGTAAATCGAACTTGGGAAGCCCTTTTAAGCACTAAACTTATCTGAGCAAAAAATCAGTGAACAACTGGACAAGTAAAATGGGGTCAGTATCTCCAATCAACTATCTGATGCGTAGAAGCCCAGAAATATTCAATCTATCTGATACAAGTGATACCCTTCTCATATATGAGTAAGTTTATAGAACATACCATATCCTTGTAAAACATAACAGCATGCAACAACCCGCAAAAATGTTTCCACGTGACTAGCTAGTGGAGCGGCTCCAGATAGTATTAGTCTCACTTTCCCCCCCAAGCCTTCCTTAACCTGATTTTAGTCATATACAATGAAAATATAAATAAATAATAAATTCGAGCCAGATAAAAACAACAGCGCAATAGTTCAAAATAAAGGGGAAATGTTTTTTTTTTTTAAAAAGAGAGAGAGAGAGAGAGAGATTAGAAAGAGTTCTACCTTACTGAAAACAAGTTTATCGAACATTGGAGAAGCCTCTGAATGCTTGGCACCCTTCTTCATGTTATTCAATTTTCTGCACATTATATAGAAGTATTTTGTAAGAAAAAAGTTCATTGATAAATGGATAGTAATTCAATGATGGCATTAATTAACAAGAAGCCAATTGAAGGGATAATACAAAAACTAGATAAAATCCCAGCACTGGCTCATGAATGAAAAAAACTAAAGCAAATCCAGGAATTCCTGGTTACACTTGAAGAGTAATGTTTACCGTGAGTATGCAAAACCAAAAAGTGTACGTTTCAACAAACCACCAGCACGAAGTTTCTCTTGCAAGCCTGCAAATGCAGCAGTCAGTAACTTTTCGGAAATTACCAAATTCATTCTAGTATTCTACAACCAATCTTTACGTACCTGAATAGATTCTCTCTAATACACGAGGAACAGCACAGAAAACTGTTGGCTTTAAGGCTCCAATATCCTCAAGCAATAACTTGACATCCTGATAAATAATACCAAGCGCAATTTGTAATAATCATCTCCTTACATGCTAGAGTAAAGCATTATATCACAGTAATTACTCTAGAAACATCACAGTAGGCAGTTACTCACCCCTCTCCAGAATCCTATTCGTGCACCATGAGAGATAAAGGCTTCCTCAATCACTCGATCAAAAATATGAGCCAAAGGCAAGTATGACAGATACACATCATCTGGTCCCAACTGCAGAAAATACATAGAAAAGCCCAAAATAAGTATGACGGAAATTCAAGATTTTGCTGATGAGTGAAGACACTAACACCACAAGAATCTATATTAATCACCTGTTCATTCACATTTTCTAAAAGGCAGTTGATGCCAGCGATTAAAGTAATAATACTTTCATTTGATATAAGTACACCCTTTGGTTCACCAGTTGTTCCACTAGTATACATTATTGTGCAGATATCACTCTTGCTCTTCTTTGCCAGTTCATAATTTTTATCACCACCCTGCAGTTCACAGGCAAAAATCAAAAGGCTAACCCTCGTGAGTCATATGAATTAGATGAAGCGGAACTGCACAATAGAACTTCATTCAGATTCTAAGAAAACAGATCCAACTACTCTGAAATTAAAGGAAACCAAAAATAAGGTACTTGTACTTGTGTTAATTGTAATTGCATAGACCCTCGTAATTTTTTGGTCCATGGAGAGCTAAAAGGGGAAATGGTTGTAGAAAAATTTGACTGCAAATGTTAGGTACTACCACCTAAGACTTAAACAACTAAGCTAGTAAGCATCCACACATCGGTTATCACAACAAAGCGAGACAAGTTAGCAAATTATACAAAAGATGTACACAGTCCCAGTTACTAATGCAAGTCACATAAAATGTTACAGATACAAAGGTGCACCCAGTCCCTCTTGTTCTTGAAGTTCTTAACTTTTCCATTTTTGTCCATTTCAAAAAAAAAAAAAATATATCAATATATATATATATATCAATTACATCATTACCCTTCTTACCCCAAAATTTATATCAATCAGTCAGCTAGGCAACAATAATAGCAAATGAAAGCAATAAAGTTCAACAAATGCAAAGAAAGCAGTAAAGTTCAAAATCAAAAGGTCAAAGTACACTCCACTACTCCAGCATCAAACTATACCACTTACCAATTGCAAAAAGTCATCCCAACTATAAATCTGCAAACCAAGTTTTTCAACTTCTTCTTTCTGCGTAGGTGTGATCTTCCCAAAGCTAACCAAAGCTGCAAAAATACTCACTTATAAAATCTCCATAACAATAATATGTAAAAGTTAAATAGAATATAATGGCAGAGAACTTACTTTTCAAGTAATTCGTTGTGTTTGGCAAAGCTTTAATCAGCTGAAGCAAAGTACAGAAACAGGTAGTGTCAATACAAGCACAGCATTGCTCATAAATTCTTAAACTTTAATTAAAGAGAAGATACCCAATAGAACTTTGTTAAGTTAACAACGTATACAAACATATATATATACAGGGAAAAAACAAGAAATTAAATATACAACTTTGTTAAGTCAATAAGGTACATAACTATAAAACTATCATTGGACAAGAGGCCATAATAAGTTACTCATTCTGCTAGAAATAAACATATCCAGATAGTTAAGATTTTATGGATCACACCAAGAACCAAGGCCGGTCACATACCTCAGAAATCTTTTTTTCTTCAACAAACACAATTGAAACTTCTGCATGGCAAATGATATATTCCACAGCACCCGACCCTACAAAAAATTCAGGGGAGATGAAAACCCAGTTGACAACAAAATTAAAAATAAATAAAATTATGTGGTAAAAGTGCAATGTCATTGTATAAAACAGTTTGAAAGGATAATGGTTATATGCTACAGGTAATCATACATTTTATATCCCTTACGAAACAAAATTATAGATGGCGTAGTTGTAGATCTTCATACAAGGAAAAACTATTACCTAAAGTGTCATACAAAGGAACACAGCGGATTCCATGGGCGTTGCAGGCCTGTAAAATTGAAATAGAAAAAATCTGTAGTCAGCAATGTATACAAATTGTAGTTCCAGCCAACCTCCGGTTTTTAATGATGTATAACCAAAGTTCAGATAAGGACTAATTTCCCTAGGGATCTTATAACTTATCAGGAGAAACATCACACGTATAGAAAAAAGTAAGATAGGTGCCCCTCAAACCGCATAACAAGGTAAGACAATATCTTGAAGGGGCAGAAACAAAGGGATGTAAAAATAATTAAAATTGTACCTGCATGCTCATGATCCACTCTGCACAGTTTGCTCCATAGATACCACAGCGGTTTCCCTGACAGGAATATATATTATACTATTATAAGAACAGCAAAAGAACCATTTTATGGGCAGGAATTGAGCACAAATACACAATACAATGAACACGTAGCTTTGTGGTGTACAGAATCATGGTATCAACTAACAAGTTTGGGGGTGCTATTATTTATGAAAGCGCCATTGAAAGAGATATTGGTCGTGCAAGGGGCAACCTAAAGCCTTAGGAGAGAGGAGAAAAGGGATTTTTTTTTTCTCCCAAATATAAGTATTAGTTGCAGCCACCAACTAGCCCTATTATCAAACACTAGCTCGTCAACTGTTACTAAAGAGATGAGACCCACACATGAAAGCTCCCAGAGCTCGCACAATATTGACAAATAATTGTGCCAGGGACAGCTTACCTCTCCGACGCCACAATGACGAATTGAGTTTCCCACTTTCATGACAATGTCATAAACCTCCTTGTAAGTAAGCCATACATAATCTCCGGCCTGCAAAGAAAGATCAAAGAGTGGAGCTTGTAGATTCATACCATGCAATACAAATATCCTACTCTTCATATCACATAGAGTAATAGGAAAGCAAGGATTGCATACCTTTCCATCCACAATCTTACGATGACCAAGCATTGGATTATTAGGGTATTTCTCCACAGACATACTGCAATAGAAGCATATTAATTACTTTTATGAGCCGGATCACATGCTTGAACTCGTACTGCGAAATATTTTGATGAAAACTTTTGCAATAACATTAATTTAGTCTGTATGCCAAATCAAGTCAAGTATGTGCCTATTAATGATAGATAGAAAATAGGCAGCAAACTGTTCATAATATAAAATTGTAAAAGGCAAAACAATACTTGACAATAGGAGGAGAAAAGCAGCAGGGAAGGGCATATAAGAAAGTTGTATACAAGTCCCAACTATGAAGAACAAGTCAAAACTAATGTCTTCCAAAAGATAATAAGAGGTTGTATGCTACAAGAGCTTTGTGACAATCTGACATCTATGTTACTCGGACTCAGGTACCCATGTCTAACCCTAGTACATGTCCCAATGTCCAATTTCGGCTATTTTGTAAAAAAAAACTTTAACAATTTTGATCCAGATGAAGTGTCCAAGTGACCTAACCACGTCCAAAGTGTCAAGGGTCCGACACACAGGTACTTCCTTGAGGTGTAAATGGTGTAATGAAGAGTCCAAATAACATGACATATATTAGATTGGGTGAAAAACCCAACTACTGTTGGTCACTCAAAGCACCCAAGTCCATGCCATATTTCAGGTATTAAAACATCAAACCTCAACCCAGGAAGGCAATTTTAACTATAAATCAGGAAAATATAGCCTAGGTTGTTTCAATTGCATATCTCAAAGTCAAAGGAGAAATCTTTGACAAGAAGCTTCAGAGAATTTGCATTCAGAAATCCAAGCACCTGTACCTCCATCCCATGTATGCTCACGGGTGTTCTTTTGCAACCCAGCACACATAATTAGTTACAATTACAAGTGCCCAACTGAAGTACATGGCAAGTTGTCGAATTAAGCCACAATTCAAAGATATTAGCTTGTTTTTACTCTAATTTAAGTTTCTGAGTATCACTTCTCTAAGTATCGGAAACAGAAATTTGTGAAAAAACCACTTAGCCCAATAACATCTGTTAAGACAAACAACAGGAAAGGGCATAGAAGAAAACTGTAGTGAAGTCCCAACTATAATATTCAAGACAAAACTTATGTCTTCTACCAGATAATCGAAGGTTTTAATAATGTACTCTGTATGTGACTAGAGTCTATGACAAGGATCAGATGGAGTCAAAGGATCCAGGGGTTGAACAAGGCAGTAACAGGAGTTCCATCTATTGTTGATCATCTTAGCATCTAAATCCTATACCCATATTGGTTGCATACTCCGGTATCTAGAACCTGAATCATGGAACCTCAATGACTAAACCTTGGCAGTAACTTTTAATCCAGAGTCTGGAAAACATACCCAACATTGATTCAATTCCATCCTCATGGATAGAGAGCCTAAGCTTGAGAGGACTTGCTTCTAGGAATCCAAATTCCTCCATTTCAGACACAAGGTCAGGGGCTCAGGATGTCTACATAAGCTGGATTTTCAAGAAAAAAGTATGTTTTTAACGAAATATTAAAGTAGACTACCCTTAATTCTTCCTCCATTCTCAATTAATTACGACAATTGGAGTTTCACGCATCTAGACGCAATAATTTAACCTTTAATATCTTCAATCATCTATAATTAAAAATTATTTTTAAAAATGATATTATGAAAATATACATTGACACGAATCTAACAAAGCCTTAATTATTATTCCTTACGTAAAAGGCACAATAGATTGTAACACATACTAGTGTGTAAATTTCATAAAAACCCAATTGCAGCAATTATGACAGAATTGAGGAAGTATAAAACAAAGAGGAGACAGCATAAAAGCTGCAAAACGTGTAATTACTGTTAGGTACTCCGTACATTAACTACCCATCCCTCCTGATTCCTGACTACCCCAGCTCCTATGAACTACTCATAACTACTTCCTCCACCTCTAAAAGTTTTCATGGTTTTGACTTTTTTTTTTTTTTTTTTTTTTTTTTTTTGTGAGACAATCGCCGTAAAACCGAAAACGTAACAGGACAGTACAGGAAAAGAATTGAATTGAAAATCTGACATTAGTATAGGATGAAATCAAATTAAATCTGACATGCATAATTTCTTAATATAATCAAGCTAATATTAAACATTAGTACCAAATTTTACACAAAGAATCAAAATTAAAGGAATGCAACTTGAATTAGCATTCCAAAAATATACAAATTAAACATTATTATGTAGAACACATTATTCTAATTCTTCAATTCCACAAATATTTAGCTAATTTCAATAATAAAAAACGCAAATATCTATCAATCGAAAACAAAAATCAATCAAATTTAAAAAATAAAAAGTCAAAATCGATCAACTCCATCAAAATTGAAAAATAATAAAATAAAAAAATAACAGAAAGTCAAAGGAAAAAGAGAGAAAGTAACCTAAAGATATCCCAGCAAGTCTCCATACCAGGAGGAGGTTGAGGAAATCCATTTTTAGCGAAAATACTGCGATAAACAGGTCCAACGGAAGGTTTACCTTCTTGTTGAGGCTTCGAGGATTCGATCTCGTAGATGTATTTCTTAGTTTCCGCCATTGTTGAGAGCTTGGAAGTTCTGGTTTTCTCTCTCCTCTAAAAGAAGGAAACTGATTTAAAGAGTAATAGAAGAAGTTGAGAAATGCGGTGTATAAGTTTTGGTGTCAACAGTTGCGATAACCAGAGAAATTATGAGAGAGAGGACCACAAAACTCTGTGTTTTGAGTTCTGCTTTTAAAAAATTATAATAATGACTTGGTTGTATATATGACTAGTATGAGAGTTTTGACGGGTTCAGGGACATTTATGAGGAACCCATTTGATCTAGATTCAAACTACTTCCGGGATGTAGGGATTCGGTGTGGGCGGGCGGGCGGGCGGGCGTGCGTGCACACGCGCATTTGGGTTAATTAGATGTCGTATGATAAGTTTAGGTAAAGATTTATGAGTAATAATTTAGCTTCTTATAAGATAAGATAGATTTATTGGGAAATTATGTCACAATTCTTAATTTATCAAAAAAAAATTATCTCTAATTATGTTTTAAAATATCTGTAGACAATTAGGCATAAATCTGATAAAATTTTATATATTTAATTTTTAGTAAAAACTTGTTTTCTTTGAACATATATGAAATTATCTAACTAAAGTTAGATTTTTATCTAAAATTGAAGTGAGCATAACAGACAAGATTGGTTAATATACACCTTTGTCTGCCCCGTTGCTTAATATACTCAATCGCTATCAAATTAGATTTCAATTAATATAATTTTGTACTTCATTCATTTCAGTTTTGTGCACATGAACTTAATATGTTTTTTAAGAAAAGATATTATATGAACCATACAAAAAAATACATATTTAGAAGGGTTGGTTAGGTAGGGGTATGGGGTGTGTGGGAATTGGCACCACCCCACCAAACCCTTGCCCAAACCCGTCTTATTGGAGTGGGATGTGAAAGGTGTACATTGACCAATCTTGCCTTGTAAACATCTATAGAGTTAATTGCTATGATTAAATGTCAGGCCTAGCTTATTGGGGTAGTGATAGTCAAATTTGTTCCTAAACAAGAAATTCTCATCACGCGTATGTGCATTACAGATTCTGAACATTGTCTCAAGATTTATAATAAAGAACCATACATCTTAAAATCCATACAATGTTTCGATTAATTGCCTTTGTCAAAAAAAAAAAAATGTTTCGATTAATTAGAGGTAAGGAATTGCTTCTTCCTATTGATACATCATATATCTAACACTCATTATAAATGTTTTTCATAAAACACTCATTTAACAAATTAAACACAACAGATACTTTCCATGTATGGTAGCCCTACTAGAACATGATCTTGTTTTGTGAGATGTGACCAAGATTAAATCAAAGGACCTCTTCTTTTCTTCATGTTATGCACTAAAATTCATTTGCTGATGTGTAAATAATTATAAAAATTCATGAAGATTACAGTCAAACGAAGGAATTGACCAGGTTGCCAAAAGATTTTTATATTTGTAGCTTTTTGTTATTCAATCTATACAATGGATTTGGTTGCATTGCTAAAAATCGCCCACTATGAATTAACAATACATGTATAATTTATGTAAAGTCGTACTATTATTATATTTTAGATGGATCAATGTTATCTCCTTACCAACCTGAACCTCATAGTACATTAGGAAATGATCATGTATTCATGTTACTACTAGATCCGATCTAATATTAAACAATCTGATAAGCTATCTCCCTTCTCCATTATCATTACATGTATTATTATAAGGGGGTATTTATAAGATCAAATATTTTTTTTTTTTTGGGGGGGGTGGGGGGGGCGGTGTTTAAGGCGATTTTAGTTAATGAATGATTAGATTCTACACTTCTTCGTAAAGTTATTCACCGGTCAGTTACAATTATTGTTGAGCCCACGAACAACCCACGTGTGAGCATTCTCTTGTCCCACACTAATTCATTAAAAAAGGGAGTGTAGTGGTAATGGAATCCCACATTGAAAAAATTCAAGAGTTACCACCACAATATAAGGCTAAGGGGCTACTCCCCTCATTGCCATATGATTTTAAGGTGGAACCTCCTTGGTCTTGTAAAATGATGGACTTGTACTCTCTCGTGATGGGTGCGGCCCAGACTCGGATTTAACATGGTATCATGTCCCTTGTGTTTATCCCCTTTTATCGTATTATAATGCCCTCAAGTAGAGGACTAGTGCAGTAGATAGCAAACTTAATATGAGCTCCAAAATTATGGTGAAACCTTGTCTCTACATATATGCAGACATGAGTTAATGAGCATTTAGAGAAGTATTTCCTTTATATTGAGTGGGGCTATTATCTGGTTGGAAGAAAGGTCAGGTTTATAGTTGCCAAAACAATAGAAGGCTGAGTTGTTAGTAGTTGTACCATGACATCCAAGCATATACATAATGCTCACTTAGCTTGTTCAGTCTGTAAGGCACCGCAAGGGTTGATCATATATATTTATTACGGAGTACTAGTATATACTCTGTATCAAGTATATACTTCGTATATATATACACGCTTTGTATAAATAATCCAAGTTATTTTTTATTTATTTATTGTACTAGTATACTTCGTATTAAGCTTGGTCCTAATAACCCTATTATCATTGAATTGGACTATTCTACCCAATAACCAGCTCTACTCACAGGTCTTTTCAAGGATTGTAAAAAGTTCTAGCTCAGTAAGGCCCTTACCAACCAAAAAAAATTAAAGTTTTTGAAAGTAATACTATTGACACCGTAACACAAAAACAAATGTCGCCATTTTATACTCTAAACTAATAAAATTTTCAAATTATTGGTTACACAATAATTTTTCCCCCTTTCCACAACTATATTAATTTTTTCTTATAATAGTAAATCTATAACTAATACTTCGTATTAAAGTAACAACCACTGATGTCATCTTTTTCCAAAGCTATACACGTGTCTCCTCATGAAAAAATTTCACGCATATATATTAGAGTTATTTTTAGAGGGAATTTTCCCTCCTAAACTCTATTTTTTCGTTTAGATTTTAGCAAAATTATTATTTTGTCTAAATACTTTATAATTTAATTATTATTATTATGATGGACTTTTAAATCACATTTTTCATGAAACTTCTATATTTTCTACAAGTATACTTTAATTATTAATTATTATGATAGTCTTTTAGTCACATATTTCATGAGACTTCTACATTTAATTTCAATTACCCTCATAAAAACCGAGCATATAGCTCGCCAGCTTGGAGATTATCTAGTGATATAATTTTAAAAAACTATCCTAAAAACCTCCAAAAATGGATTTATTGAGCAAAATGCAAATTAAATCAAACATTTTTTTAGTACTCCCGCCGTATATGGATAGGCCTCAATGAGGTTTGGTCCTACGGATCAGTAAATATGTACTGTACTTGTCATTTATCAATTTAATGAGAATGTACATAAAAACAGTACACCTTTAATGTTTGTTGAAGATCATTTCCTAGACTCACTTCTTCAACCATGCCAAATTCACCCCCTATACAATTCCATATTTTCCATTCATGTTTTTTCTTTCTCTTTAAACATGTAGCCCTAAACATATAAAAAAAAAAAAATTGAATAAATACACATAGATTAGGGCTACATGTTTAAAGTACATTTTATATAATCGTAGGAATATAAGTTTTAGAATTCATGACACAAATACACATAGATCGGTCTAATTAATACTCCGTACTTAGTTATTTTCTATTTTAGCTTCTTAGGTAGCCCTTATGAATATGTTTATCGTTTTCTTTCTTTTAAGGCCTTGTCTAAAAATGATTGACAAGATTTTAGATTTTTATGAGTTAGCAGCATTAAAATAATTGATCACATAAACAATTATTGATAGTGTTTGGAAATTACTCCCCGTATTATTATTTAAGTACAACAAGTTGATTGACAAATCAGTCAATACACAAGTTTGACCATTAATATATTAATCTATCATAATATAAACTAGATGTAAGCCCGTACGATGCACAGTTTTAAATATTTTATTTTGTATATATTTTTTTTAATTTCTTAATATTTTTTGTTTTTATTTTCTATTCTATTATTTTAACATTAATTTAAGTAAATTATTCTTATTCAAATTTTACGTATATAGAACTTGAATATATAAATTGAAATAAATAGTATCTCATTCATCGGATAGTTAGATAAAATCATTAAATCAAAATGTATTTTTTAATTTCTAATTATTTGTTAAAATAATATAAATCCTAATGTAAAAGATAATATAAAAGATAATTTTTGTTTTTTTTTCATAATTTAAATATTAAATTACTATTTTTTGTTTTCAATTCTCAAATTTCATTTGTTAATTTTTACTTAAATGGCGACTGAAAATTAAAATTATAAACTAATTATAAATCTAATTTTTCGTTGGTCGAAATATTACTTTTGCTTATGTGGCGTGCGATGCACAAATTTTAATATACATTTTGTATATAAATATTTTTTTGGTGATCTCTTAATTTTTTTTCTTGTATTATAAGTTTTAAAATTTTGTATGAAAGTATCTTATGATCAGATCAAATGATAGTTTATATTTTTTAAATATCAAAATATAATTTTTAGTTTATTAAATAATATAAATCCTAATATCTAAAGATAATTTTTAGTTTTGTAACAAATAAAAATGATAAAATTTAGTGTTCTTAAATAATTAAAATCCTAATAAATTACTATTCGTCATTTTTACCTACGTGGAAAAAGATTAAAATTTCATTCGTCACTTTTGTTTAGGTGGCGAGTGATTTTTTTAATTCTAAAATAAAATAAAAATCTAATTTTTGATTGGTCGAAAATATACCTTTTCTTATGTGGCGCTCTCAATGCTCTCCAAAAATGCCTACTTTATTTATATACTAGTTTTGTGCCCCGTGCGATGCCCGGGTTGTTTATAGAATTTTAAGATAAAATTATATTATAATTCAATTTAATTGATTGAAAATAGAATTCTAAATTAACTTTTTTTTTTCTACAAAGTCTATCTATATTTATCCAGCGTGGTACGACATTTGGTGAAAAGTTAAAATGCTATACGATGTTGTCTTGCGGCCTATGATAAGTTTATTATTTAGTATTTTATCGAAAATAAAACTCTAAATTAACCATCTTATTCTAAAATTCTATCCTAATTTGATTGAAAAATGAATTTTTAACTAACTTTTTTTTAATCTTATGAATATATTTAAATCTATCCAAGGTGGCGCGACACTTGGCGAAAAGTTAGAATGTCAAGTGTCACTATTTTGTGACTTGGCTAAAAGTTTAGCTTTATATATTAGTTATATGATATTAGATTAGATTGTATAATGTTGATATTATGAAAATTTGCATTAGTAAAAAAAAAAAAATTAAGTCATTGGAGTTATCATTTAATGAATAATGCACCAAATACATATATCAAGCTAAAAACGGAAGGAATCAATGTTTTATACAAAGTAGAATTTATTAGAGTAGAGCTGTAAAGGTATATAATTTGTTATAATGTTATTAATTCAATCATCTACTAGATAATTAGCTACAAGGCCAACAACCAAGGTCGTCTAATCCCACACATCATATAATTATACTCCATAGCTTGTATGTCACCATCAATATAAATCTAATTTAATTCGATATACATATATATATAAGAAGCAAAATTCTAACTATCCTTTTATATTTTCACAGACTTTTATATTTAGTTGTCTGCATAATCGAACACCATATGTTACTTTGTTAGTGTAGTTATAGGGATTATTTTGGTAGAAATATGGTGCTCTTAAGAATATACATGACGCATGCATGATTGCATGGTATTATTAGATGCTCCCGCACCCTCTAGCTGAATAGTTCCTTTAACGTGTTTAAGATATTCTTTTTTTGAGGTAACAAATTAAACACAAAATTATGAGCCACTAACCTAATTATATAAGTTTAATTATACAGCCATCCACATCTTATGATTAAGCAAACTTAATAACAGGATAACAATGGATTATGAAAGAAATTATACACATGAAAATGATAATGTACAGCTAGCTAATTATCAACATTGCTTTCATAATCAGGAATTTAAACATATATATAATGCATGTAATGTTGAAGATTCAAATCAACCATTTCATTCGTACACGTATGTTATAAACCAGAATTTTATGTGCTTTTAATTAATACTCCGAGAGCTGATACACATACAACCATTGTATGTTGTCTCTACATACAACACCATTAGAAATTTGACACATCAACAAAAATTGGGAGAAGATTAAGAGGTAAATATAAATTGAATTTAATGGAACTTGTGCCTACTATTTTAGCCAATAAAAAATGACAAATTAGAGTTGTATGTAGGGACCACATACAACAATTGTATGGGTAGCCTTTACCAGTCCGTATTAATAGGAATCCTACTATAAAATTACCATTCACTCTCAATCTCTCATCTAAATGACTTTATTTTTGCTGAATAACAACTTTATAAAGTCCAATAAATTAATTGCTTCCATTAAAGCTTCTTTCTTTAGTTACCCTTCTTATTAAGGCATTAGGTCAACTCCCCAAGTACTCCTTACCTATAAACTTAGAATTGACTTCTTGATTTTGACTTGTCATCAATATCATTATGACAATTATATTCTTGAATCATTTTTTTAGAAATGTCTCTAAAGATAAATATTTTCGAGTGAGTAACTAAACATTTTAAAATAATAGGTTAAAATTTATATATAAAAAAAAATACTAGAGAAAATCAGTAAATGCTTCGATCAGTTAACAAACAAGTACAAGTTGTTTATGAACAAGTAATCCCTTTTATGTGATGAAAGCTCACATTTAATCGTTTAATCTTTTTCGGGCAATTTGCTCCTTATAATATGTGTGTTCTCTCCTTAAAAACTTCCTCCTTTTATGGACGGTCTAATAAGAACTTACTCATTTGTAGTTAGCTTCAACTCTTCAAGTATCCCAATTTGATGAAATACAAATAACATGCTAAATTAATAATTATGCTTTAAACCAAAATCAAAAGTTGATCCGTATGAAATTGGTCTAGTTAATATCTTGAACAAACAAATTGACCTTTTTCAGCTACCATCATTGACATATCCACAAGCCTATAAATCAACATTAATACACAATTGACCCAAACTTATCTAGGCCCAATAGATTCATTGCTCGACAACGAAAACTTGATGAATCTGTCTTCTTTATTAAGCAACCACTTATGAATGATAGAGACTGATTGTTTTTGTAATGTCTACTACTATAATTTACATATCTAATCCAAAGTGTAATCCACGTATAGTTTTTTTTTTGTTCTACAATATCGATTATAAAGTGTTGTAAAAGACAAATAATATAAACGGAATTTGATTTCAGATCTTGAAACAAAATTCAAATTTTAGCAATTTACTATCTCCGTTACAAATTATGTGCAACGATTAGACATTTTCCCTCTCTGCTTTAAGATTGTTGACACTTGACATTGCAAATACTCCTTTATATTGAGGATTTATAATTATAAAATGCGAACTTGCGAATTAGGCCCTGTTTGGTTTGATGTAAAAGGTTTTGCTTTAAGATTGTTGACACTTGACATTGCAAATACTCCTTTATATTGAGGATTTATAATTATAAAATGCGAACTTGCGAATTAGGCCCTGTTTGGTTTGATGTAAAAGGTTTTCATGGAAAATGAATTTTTCATTTTTTTCCCATTTTCCTTTGTTTGGTTTGTTAAGGGGCGGAAATAATTTTTCCAAAGATGGAAAATTTCATCCTTAATGATGGAAAACATTTTCCTTCCCAAAACAAGGGAAGCCACATTTTTTCTCTCTTCCTTACCTCCTTTTTTTACTTCCTTCTCATTCATCCTTACATTTCCACTCTTATTTTTTATTTTTCTTGAACTTTTCTTGTAAACCAAACAAAGGAAAACTAATTTGCAATTGTGTTTTTCCTTGAAAATATGTTTTCCATGAAAATTAATTTTCCATTGAAAATGTTTTACATTAAATCAAACGGGGCCTTAATATCTTAAGCCAGTTCCATCTCATATTTACAATTGTAAAAATTTATGACAATATAACAGCCTCAAAGCATGCTCAGAGATTGCTGCGGCCGTCGTAAAATTCACCACAAAACAAATACATCATGAAACCAATATGGAGACTAGATGAACAGCCGGATCCTCAGACATACAGAGTATACAATTTCTTTAAAATCAACAGAAGGATAGCTTGTAGAATTCTAACTTCTACTCGGTATCAGACAAAATCTCACTATACACTTCCAAGTAAACTTCTCCAGTCGTTTATAATGAATAAAGATTTACTTTTGTCAGAAACTCAACAAGATCCAAGTACTCTGGAAATAAAAAAGGTTTGATGAAAACACCCAAAACAAAATCGATTATCTAATACTTGTATATCTCAAAGCTTGATGTATAACACCATCATTTATAAACGGCCTTAACATCCACATCAGACAGTAGCTCTCTAATTCACCATTTGAAGTTGTAAAATTCAACGAAGAAACAATATTATTCTGCATTGTATAGTCTTGCTTTAACATGCTGTAGATTACTGCTATATATGATGCGCAATCAGCAGCATCAAGCTTCTGGGAAGCAACTACTTGTTCTGAACTCTGGTTCATAATTAAGGCATTGCCTGCCTTATCCACGAGACTTTCAAGTTTGTCTATTATGATTTTGGCTTGGGTTAGAAAATCCCGAAGGTCACCCAAACTTGTATTCAGATGACTTACATTATTTGTGTTATTGAAAGCATTGATGCACCCAGCTTCCACATATGCATTAATCCTCTTGGTTTTGTTTGCTTTGATGATGCTCCTGACCAGCTCCGATGATTCATATATTGAAGGGTGTTGGAGAACTTCAAGCGCCTGCTGAAATCTGATTAGATACTTCCGTCCAACTTCCACTAACTCTTCAAACTGTACAACTACCACCATAAATTCTGCCAGTATTTCCTTCATTTCATCATCAAGATTGGATACAAAGTTTCCCTCTCCTTCCATCCTGAAAAGCCATGGCAAATTAAGTTACATACCAAAAATGAAAAGCAATTTTACAGCTATACATTCACACACACACAGCTTAAGGCGTCGAGCAACTATTGCAAACAAGAGGCAAAACCAGCACCTATAGCAACAGATCCACCTGTGATTTTGAATGCTGCATACCCACTTGTTCCATGATTCAACTCTTCAAGAACACACCAAGAATGCTTTCTATCATCCATTATCACAAATACAGTAAAAACATTCTAAATTACTGCATTTGCAAAAGAAATCACATAATTTCATATATAACATACCATATTGGACATTATCATTGGAAAAAAAAAAAGCACTCCCTCCTCTGTCAACAAATTACCTTTTTGTGAGGTTTAGACACACTTGAGGATTATATATCAATTGGATACGGTAGGTTTATGGTATTTAGTGGGGAAATAAGAATGAAATTAAAATGATTGAAAGAGATTAGTGAGTGAGAGGACCCACATCACAAGAGATCTAATCGGAGTGTGAGAAAAAGTTAGTGGGTGCTCCACAAGTCCACATTATATGGAGTTAAGTTAAGTTTCCATTTTAAGTAATAGGAAGATATTTTTGTAGAAATCCTAAACAGAACACAGGAAGATTATTTGTAGATTCTCCGAATATTACAATTTTCATATTGGAAAGCGTAAATATGTATATACTCATGAAACAATTGCACTGTGAAACAGAGGAGTATCATACTTTCATTGGTGTTTATATCTAGATAATCAAGAAGTAAGATTGGTGTAAAGGCATCCAACTTTAACATCCAGAATCCAAGATCTCTCAATACCTTAAAATACAACTGATGCTTTCCTTTCCCTTTCTTTTTCATAACACTTCCTCTCACCTAAAATCAAATAAATTTGGCAGTACATGGAAGGTTATAAGAAAATCAGCAACTGCAGCCTACAGCGGCTAGTAGCAAGCACATTGGTTCAGACTGCCTAATAAGCTCTGATTCGATAACATCATCATTCAGTGCATATCATTTGCAAATAATCCTTTGATGGAAAGAGGCACAAGACTAATAGACTAGTGTACCTTGACCCTTAAGCAAGAATGATTACACCGCAACTAAGATTAGAGCCCAATTGTCACTACTTTGAAAAACGTTAGGGCAAGAACAACTGCAACATGTGGCAGCACAAGTATCAGACCAAATTAAAGCTTCAAAGCATTAAGCTTCAAAATTCAAATTATTTTCATATATTGAACGGATGTACACATAAACCCGAACCTTAGATTCCTAGAAGCTTTAAGCCTTCACACATCCAACAAGTGACCCACATTATCAAGGATTTAAGTGAAGACTACATATACGTACTGCCAGCTCATCAGCTGAAACTTTATATAATGTAACAGCAGGTAACATCTTCACTTATTCTTCAATCAGATTCCCAGCCCCCTTACCATTACGTGCATACCATGTTTTAGTTTGCACAAACAAACAACCACAACAATCAAGCTAGTGACATCAAAGGTTGTGAGCTTCACAATCCACTATATAATTACTAGAGAAATTTTTTTAGTCTGTTGTCATTTCTTCCAGTCCCCTAAATGCCTCATGAAGACATGCACACTTGCACAGTATGCATACCATGGTTTAATTAGCAATAATAAAAATCATATTACGTTTACATACTGAAATTCACCACTTTATATATGATCATCCAATTCTACTTATAACCCATCCAAACAATTTCTCAGTTTTTTTATTCAATAAAAATGTTTAACATGGTATTAAAACATCTATACACAATACTCCATACTACTTGCAGGTTCAACTAAGAATCAAGAAAAACGATACCGTGGCATGTCAAAGACATCAAAATTTTAATCCAATTCCTTATAAATGACCCAGGAAAAGAATGTGGCAATCAAACTCCTCCAATATTTCATAATCAACTCATTGATTAGTCACAGAAATTTCAAACAATCCCAATAGCTAACTAACTAACAATCTCAAATTCTACATAAGTTGAATAATAAAAATTAAGACAAAACCCCTCCAAGAGATACAACTTCTAACAAAAAGAAAAATCCATATTAAATTCATACTTACTTGAAATAATTCATACATACATATTTGCTTGTGAGTTCAAATCAAAGTTTTCAAAACCAGAATTTGTAATCATAACACCATAATCCAAATTCTAAATTATAAGTATAGATTAGTGGGTGCAATTACAATGATTTTCCTTCATAATTTCATCGTTTATAACTAATAGTTCAGTAATCTACCTAAGCAGAGCCCTAAATTGATTATACAAACAATAGTGTGAAATTAAACCCTAGATTATGAAACTGACATTGATTATTGAAAGAAAATAGAAAGATTATGATACCTCAGAAGCTCCTTCAATGGAGGAGAGAAGCTCAGAAGCCACTTCAATGGAGAAACAAAGAGCTCGCCCTTCAATGGAGTAGGGAGAGGTTAATGACACAAGTATTATATCAACCGTCGATTAGATAATATCAATGGTCAGAATCCACTCTCATAGATTTAAGTTTTCTTATGTTTTATCAGTTCAGTAAATAAGAACAAACACTAAAAAAATCTGAAAAATAAAATGTGTTCTTTTGTTTTGAAATTTATTCTTTTACTGAGAGTATGATATACCGAAATGCATCAATTTCAAACGCCCATCATTTCAAAATAATTAACACACTTTACTCTTTTAGATGTTTTAGAAAAATTGATAAACTAATACTTAATGTATAAATGATGAAAGACCACAATTATTAAATTTTAGTTACCGTATTCACTAGCATTTTTTAGGATATTAATTATGATAGAGCTTTTTTTTAGAATTGTAAGTTTTCACGTGTAAAACGTTCATGTAATACCGTAGCTCACTTAATTGCTAGATGGGATGCGGGTGATCATCTGGAATATGTTTGTTTAGACTCATTTCCCCAAAGTATTACAACTTTGGCGGAATTGGACCTCCTTTAATTTAATAAAATGCTCTATCGGTTGAGAGTGAGGGATAGCTCAAGTGGTTAGAGCTTCCCTCCCAATTTCAGGAGATTCTGGGATCGATTCTCACCCCCGCCCTAGTGGCTCTTTAAACATCAAAAAAATAAAAAATGCTCTATCGGTTCTCAAAAACTCATTTTATAACACTATCTAAAATTCATGCCAAAGGGAGTGTGTCAATTTTCCAAAACAAAGAGAGTACAATTTTTAGTTAAGAAAAGCCCAATTCCATTCCAATTAATAAACTACTCTATTTCTTTTGCTAGTCCCAAATCAACAATGGGTCTAAGATGCATCCTTGTGCACCTATTTTAGATGCAACATCAATCCACAAGCCCAATTTCAAACGTGCCCCATTAAAAAAGCCCTAAATCAAAATGAGCCCACCCAAAAACTAAACATATGTTTAAATTACAGCCCACTCAACCATCACTTTCAACGGCTATTATTTTTTTTTAAAAAAAACGTCACTCTTAAATTTAAATTTCTGAAATTTATTATTCATTTCTTTGATTTTCTCCCTCTAACAATCAAACACAATTCACTCTCTCTTCAAAACAACCATGAATATTTGAGATGAGATGAAAAATCAAACAAATTCTCCCTAAAAAAGGCAATTTAATGTAAATTTTACTTAATTTTTGTTTGAATTTATATGTTTATCACTTAATTTTAAATTTTACTTAATTTTGTTTGAATTTGTATGTTTATCACTTAATTTTGTTTGGATATTATTTTTATTTTTTTTTTGAAACATGTTTGGATATTGTTCGATACTCTATTGTTCGAAATATTCTTATGTTCATATTTTGAATACTTATGTTCACTTTCTGAAATACATATGTTCATATTTTTTATGCGTATGTTCACTTTCTTAGATGTTTATGTTCATATTTTGAATCCTTGTAATATTTCTGAATGCATATATTCACTTTCTAAATCCATATGTTCATATTTTTTATGTTTATGTTCACTTTCTAAAATGCTTAATTATGTTCATACGCATTCAAAAATGAACCAATGCATATGTCATATTTAATACTTATGATGCATATGTTTCATAATCATATTATTTTTTATTTCTTCGATTTTTTTATGTTCATAATTAAATGCCTTATATTCATAATAATATTTTATATGTTCATGATGTAAATATTCATAGTAAATATTTGTTGTTCATGAAATATTCTCATTAAATCTGTTTATGCATATGTTCTCTTTCTTAAATACATATGTTTATATTATTTACGCATATATTCACCTTTTAAATGCTTATATTCACTTTTAGGAAACAAATGCTTACGTTCATATTTTGAATTGTTATGTTTACTTTTCTGAAATACAAATGTTCATATTTTTTATGCCTATATTCACTTTCTGAAAAGGTAATATTCACATTTAAGGAAACCTATGCATATGTTCATATTTTGCATGATTATGTTCATTGATAAAAAAAAATGTAGAAAATCAGATGAAATTAATCAAAATTAATCAGCTCATAAGAAATCGAAATTTATACATAATACATCAAATTGATCGAACATAACCAAAAATCAGATGAAATTGAATAACTGATCAATCGAAACTAATCGAAGCTAACCTAAAATCATACAAAACACAATTACAATTGAAACTAACAAAAAAAAAATCTAATTACAAATCGCAAAATCAAGTAACTAACCTGCATTGACGATGTCTTCGTCAAGAACAACCAATTCCATATTTATCCAATCAAAACAGATGCAATCGCAAAACAAAGGATAATTTTTCCAGAAAAAAACAGAGGAAAAAGAAATTAAAGAAGGAGAAAAAACATAGAATAATTTTTCCAGAAAAAAAACAGAGAACAAACTATACTAATGAAAATTTTTATGGAAAACTTTGATGAGAATTAGGAAATATAAGAGAAGAGAGAGAATTGGAAAAGAAGAAACCAAAATTTTTTAAAAGGAAACTAAGAAACTTGAGCGGGAAGAAACATAAGAGAACACTAAATAGGTAGGTTGCGTTTCACGTAGTTTCTCCTGCGTTTTGAGCAGTGACACCCACTTCTAGGTGTAGGAGGTTACACCTAAGAATATGTTCCAAACCAACTTTTGCACAATTTCAATACATAAATGTAAACATAGCTCCCTTCAAACAGGTATTGTAAAAAAAATGAAATGAAATTACACATGAATATGCTTTTCATACTCCGTATTTATTATTCGAGTGTTATATTTCATTTGCATTGAAAACTACATAAATTTCAAACTCAACTAACAAAAAGAAAAGAAAACTGCAATAATAATCATATAATCAGGTTTATAGCCAAAAAAGATGCTCTGATATTTCCGCCTGCTGTCTGTCAAAACCACCTCAACAGACAGATACATCCATGATATACGCTCCGACTGCTTGTTCTTCAAAACCATCAATGAGAAAGCCTGTAGTATTCTAAATTCTATAAGGCAAAATCTTGCTACTCTCCCTAATAATGATACACTTATTCTGTAGTATAAGGTGGATGAAAATTCAAATAATACCAAAAATCAAGATGATAGAAATAAGAGCAGAGAACACCATCATCGCTTCTTGTTTTTCTTTTTCTGCTTCACTTTTCTCTCTAAACTTTTAAGGCGTTGACTGAGAACTGCCGATGATGATGATGATGATGTTTTTTCATCGATAGATTTTGCTTGATCAGCAGCCGCAGGTAATGCAGCAGGAGCTTTTGGGGGTGCAGTGGCTTGTTTTAGCGCTTCTAAGAGAGAAAAGCCAGATGTTTTTTGTTGTGAGTTCGGAGGTGGCACTGGTATATCTGGGACTCCCAAGGACTTCTTTACACCAGGAATTTTGAGCACTGTAGACATTAGATTTACAAAAACGTCACAAATATTACGTCATGATATGAGAATTTACATTTTTTACACAATGTTAAACAGAAGAAATGACTAGTCTTATATCCTTCTAACAAGATATTAATAAGTGTAGTACGAAATTACACTGTGGTATAACTAATAGTCTAATACTCACGTAAGCTATATTTGACTTTTTTAGTGGTCTAGAAAAGTAATCTTTCTTATTGTAATGGTTTGTAAGTAGATAACAAATTAGTGACATGACTACTAAAATAATAAATTAAAGTGGAGAAGAGGAAAAATATAGCACAACAGCAATGAAGGGTCTTTTTGTATAAATTACATCATGACCTTGATAAAGAGATTAAGGCAATGTGACAATCGATTCTAGACTGGAGGGAGTATTTCAAATGAAAGAGCATAAACATTAAAAGTACATTACCAGTACAGTAGACAGAAAAGAAGAATGGAAAACATACCAGCTCCATATGCGAAGGAGAAGCAATTAGAAGTAATCCAATAACAAAATATAGCCTGCACAGACATGCATGAAATTTATTACTCACATGTCCCGTCAATAATGGATATGTACTAATACATAACACTATAACAGTAGATATCTTTAACCAGATAGATAATACACTAGAGTTACAGCTTTAACAAAGACAGTGATAAACTTCGAGATTACAATTATGTTTCATCTAAAACTACTCACTGTACAAGTGTACATGCCTTCAACCAAGCTCAGACTATAGAATGCTCACAAAGGTAGCAGACATAGTTATTATAAATCATAAAATGAGTATAGTTGCCTACTTGATAGCCAAAGATCAAACGAGTACATACACCGTACAATATAGACATCTCATTGATGTATAGAAATTGACAAACATGTACATCCCATGTGACTACAAATGGTTTTTGCAATTAATCCAAACCCATTTTCTTTGGAAATTATTTTGGAGATTGGAAACTAGTGAAGCATGAACCAAGTACTCGAACATATCAACATAAATAACATGGCAAGTTCAGATAATTAACAAGAACCTCGCACACTACATGCCAAAGAAATATCTGGGAAATGTACTGTTTAAGAGAACAGCTATGAACTATTCATAGCTTCAACTAAACAAAGCACAATATAAATTAAAACATGCCAGAACTAGAAGATAAGAAACACTGAGGTAAAGGTAATTAGAACCCAACCCCCAGCCTTAAACCTATTCCAGAAACTTTATCCTTAACAGTTGTTTAATAGGTTGAGTCTAATTATGCGAAGTGGATATATCCTCATGTGAATGTTCATGGTAGTGCATAAAAAGAATGAACAAAAATACACACTAGGGGGTGGAGAAAAAATTACGATGGAACATTATTCAAGACACTATAGAATATTTAGATTTTAAAACTGATTTAAAAACAAATTCACTATAAATCCCTTGTTTTATTTCCATCTTACTAAGAACCCATGCAATAAATAGTGTAAATGATGCGTGCAGCCAATGCAAATTGCAAAATGATCAATAGTGTTCTAAACCATGAAACGATCTCTAAAACGATTACACGGTCAATCGGTCACAGATCTTTAAACTTCCGCCGTTCACTTTTAGTTGCAACAGTTTGACCAAAAATTTTGGCCAACCTTATGCAATTAAAAGTGAATTGAGAAAGTATATCATTTAAAAAAAGAGGGGGGGGGGGGGTGGGGGGGTTGTTGTAAAATGTAACTTTATATTTAATAGCACTTATGTTACTATTTCAGGAGCATCCAGAATAGAATTTAAGCTACTATTTTATACCAAAAAATCACCATAATGGTAACGGCTTCACAATAACATAACAACTTTGGATTCCTCCTACTTTCTTCTCTCTCTTCAATTATCTTTACCTTTAATAGAGGCCAACCTTCCCCCTTTTCTTTTTCCTTTTCTTCAAATAATCTCTCCTATCAACCAAGGAACCAATTTCTCTCACTTCCAGAGCTAATATTAGTACCAAAAGCAAAATGTAAGAGCTTACACCAGGGTTACCAAATACTCCCCTCCACCCCCGAACTCCAATTTAAGACTATTGTTCCAATACTTAAACACTTTTTGCGTATCAATACTCCCAATTTAGCGTATTGTGATATCTCAATGCTTAGAGATAGAATTGAACAAGGAGGGGTATTGAAGAGAGGATAGGTCAACAAGGAAGGGGTTTATTGGTTGCTTCGTTTGCTTTCCTATTTCACTTTGTTTCTTTTACAGGGTTACCTAATACTTCCTTCCCCCACAAACTCCTGATTTAAGCCTTCTATAATAGTTACTCCCAAGACTTATACTAGTTACTCCCAAGACTTCAAAAAAAAATAACTTAATACATATTAGGGTATATTATCTTATCGCAATATGATTTCAAATACCGTATTAAACAAAACCCTCAACCATATTATTTTTATCATAACTAGTGTATTGCAACCTCGTTCTCATTCCGCGTAAGCATACTACGTATTATTGTATTAACCCTGGCTTACACTAATGGCATAAAACTCCATCCTCGAGAAACAATATGAATAAAAGGCTTCAAGATTTTACTAGAAAACAAGAGGATTGCCAAAGTATCCTCTTAGTTGTGATAAACCAAATGCTAACCACTGTTTACTATGGCAGGCAAAGGTTAGATTTCTTGGCCACTAATTATCATGTTACTACACAAGCCTACAATAATGTTAGTGGAGGAAGAGGGAGTTGAGACTCTTGCAAGGGAAGAAGAATGGAAGGGGTTGAAAAGCTAGTAGGAAGAGGGGGTGATGTTAAGAGAATTCAATCTGAGGGAGGAGGAGCACCAAGAGCCCTACTAACAAGAAGGAAGGGCAGATAGAAAATGATTTAGTGGGAAAATTTGGGTAGGGTCAAGAATAGGTTGCCAATTGTAAATGGATTGAGAGTAGATATGATGAAGTCATGAAAGTGAATGAAAATCAGAAAGAAAAAACAAAGGGAAAGATACATTACCGTTATATAGTTATCACCAGCACTTCATTGTGGTAATTTGGAGGTTATTGTGGATAATTCGATAAACAATGTAATACAAAATTTGGTCAGTGAAGGTTTAATTTGTTATAGCAAACCCTCTCCAATTTTCAAGTGTTATTTTGTAGCAAAAAAGCCGATGGTTTATCCAGAAAATATGCAAAGTATTCCCTTCCAACTCATTAGTCATATCAATTCTTCTCCACCTGTACCGTCTCCATTCTGCACCCCCATCTAAGATTTTCAGTTGCATGGTAAGGACAAAAATTCCTCCCTGATTATACACACTACCCATAGCCCTCTCTATCTACAAGCACTCCCCACTATAACCCTTGTAGCCAGATTGCTTTTACTACCTCAAGACTCTTGCCCCCAACAATTCCCAAATCCACTGTCCTCGTCATTCTATCTCTTTTCAACTGGAAACGACCATCAGTTCTAGATCTTTATAATCCACTATTCTATTTTCGTACTACTTCAAAGTTCAAACACCTTTCTCCAACCAAGTGGCTTTGCTATAACCTCCCCTGACCTAACTAAGCAGCCCGGCCTTCTTTCTCTCAAGATCAATGCCTCCAATCCTCCACCTTCATTAGCATCATGAGGCTTGCTGGATCCTATTGGCATCAGCAAGGTCCGTGCTGCATCCATCATACAAAGGAAGGTACTTAATGCAACAGCTAGTAGTAAATGGGAAGAAAAGAGAGCATGAAACAGGGTGAGCAAAGAAAGGAGATAAAGTGGTGAAGGTATTGAAGAGGCATAGAAAAAGATTAGGAGAGGAAATGGCTGAGGAAGTCCAAAATGGATGAGAAAAATGAGAAGAGAAAGATAAGGCAATTTGATAAAACAACATTATAAAAGAAAATAGATAGGGGGTTTCATTCTTTACCAACCAAATAACATCTAGATGCAGGGTTCAAGATCCCTCCTTATTACCATTTATTCAGTCTGAACGTCTGATACTCTGATACATAATTCAAGTCATCATTCATATATTTAAACCATAAGCTTGGACTTAAGAGAGGTATCAGATGAAGGGCTTGGTGACAGGGAGATATTCGGTGGGCACGAGAGACGCAGAGCTGAGAGAGAAAGATCGCAGAATTTACAAATCTACAGGGATCATTGAATAGATCATCGGTCATATTGGTCACTAGTGACAAGCACATAGCATCAAAACTGTGGAACTACCACCTCTCTAAGCTGTTTACCCACAGTAACATAATTAGGGTGGCAGGGAGGACAAGACAACTAGAATCTATGGTACCCAAACTTGTTATTACACCTCAAATACTGACTCAAATTCTTGACAGTTGACACTCTAACAGTCTAACATGGGCTTGACACTTGCCATTTGGACTAAAAACATGCAAATCGTTTTATTAATTGACCAGAGATGACACATGGAGAACAAGCCTATATATACAACACTAATTATGAAATTGTAAGTTAAAATAGGCTAGAACTGAAGACGCTGAATATGGAGTGAAAGAAAAAGTTGTAAGGTCAAGCATGAATGAAGGCTAGAGATCTACTTTTTTTCCCTATAAAGCCCTATTCTCTTCAACTCAATTTTGCTAAACTAAAATTAATTTTACTAAAAATTAATTATTTTTGTTGAACTTAGATATATTTTACTGAAATGAAATTAAATTTCCTGAACTGAAATTAATTTTACAATTCTCTAATATATTTCTTCTTTAAATTACTGATTTTTACCAATTTAAAATTAATTTTAATACACTGAATATTTTTACCGAATATTATTTTTTTAAGGTGAAGAGAGCAGGGTCTAACACTTCTCTTTAATTAACGAGAGCACTTACAAGCCTAGTGATATTTTTTTAGTAATTTTCGAATAACATATAGTTTTACAAGTAGAGCCGGAAAAAAATCGTGTCGTGTCGTGTTCGTGTTTAGTCTAGTGTTAATTTCGCGTTATTCATATAATTTATCAAAAACTATGTAAAATGTAAGATAATTGCATAATTTGACCATTTTATCTAAACGGATCGTGTTCGGGTTGATTTCGTGTCATGTCGCGTCGACTTTGTGTTTTCTCTCATTAACTTTGTGTTCGTGTCGTGCTGGTTTCGGTCGTATTGTCGTGTCGTGTCGTGTCAGAGATTTCTAGCTCTATTTACAAGGCACCCAAAATATATATAGCTTATCATATTTCCTTAAGAATTAAAATACAGGAGTCCGAAATAACTTTCCAACTCCATCCCTCATACTACATGACATAGAATAATACTTGTCACAGGCCATGTTTAATTCAACTTAATTTATCTTGTTTTGACTTGTTTTAAACAAGCTAAGTTCAAATAAATATAGATAATTTCAGACAAAATAAGTCAAACAACAAGCTTTTATCCTATGTTTTTTTCCAGAAAATTTCTACAATAACTATACAATTGGAGCCAAAATAAGTTTAGATAAAAAAAAATGAACTGATAATTTTAGAAAAAATCATGAGTTTAAGTTCACAAGATAAGTTGAATCAAACACAGGCTTAGTTCTGATCCCTCTACCTTGGTCTATACACTACTTCCAAGAATACATTAAGATGAATTCAAGTTATAGAAAAGGGAGCATTAAAAAAAAAACAGTAAAGCAACAACAAATGCAACTATGCAACCAACTGTGCATCACCCTGCAAACCCAACAGCAGAGTACCACCCAAGGCGAGGTTTTTCATCAAATAGCTATTTAAACTACCACTCTACTTGAGCTCTTCAAGTGTCAATCCTGCATCAAATTAGTTTTTCTTTTTTTTTTTCACCAGATAGCTGGAGATGTATCAGCCCAATTGTTGGATGGCGTTCTTTTGGGATAACGATTTAAATTTAAAACTAAAACAGCTAGTGACTATCCTCATTCCTCACTTAATCATCAACCCATCAGATCAAATTATATGATCCCAGATCAAATCTAAATGCACAAATATTTTGAGATAACTTAAGTGGGGGACTGGGGGTAATACCTTTGGAAAGCTCATGGTGAATGGGACAGTAAGAACAGCTAAGCCTCTTGAAAACTTTTTCATAGTGCTAGCAACGGGATTGCCTTCCATACCTTCCTGCATATTCAACTGAGACAAGATAGATGGGGTAATAATTAGACAATAAATACGCAAACCAGAGCCATACAGATTTTAAGAACAAAGGGAAGTAAAAAGTCCTGTACAGCTCTGTAGCGTAAAAAGTACAAGATCCAGAATAAGATTAACAACTTTATAAATACATACCTCCACAGTAATTAGAAAAGTCACTGCCGTCAAAACAGGAAGGATATACCTTGCATCCGGAGTTGTAAGATCAGTAAACCAAAATGCTCCACCCTCTTTAAATGATGGAACCTTCTCCGCCATATTTGATATCTGCATATATAGTTTGTGATAAGCAAATTTATTTTTCTATAGCAACTAGCAAGCACCACAAAAAAAAGATTATCACTATCAACTTACAGCTAAGAAAAAACTGATGAAGACAGGACCTTGAATAAGAAGCCCCTTAAGAGGAGTAAATGGCGTAACACCATATCTGCATTTATCAAATTATTATTAGCATACCCACATGGAAAACCTGAAAACTACAGATACAGAAATGGATCACTCCAACAGGAAAAAAAATGTAAATACATTACAGAAATTGACAACCTTCCAGAGCTCACAGATTGGGATATAAGGTGGCTCAAGCCATTCTACAGAACAGGACTACTGAATAAACTTTAGCTCACGAAAACATTGCAGAGGAATGAAACAGCTCACATTAGTGATATGGTGTGCAAGTCATTCCTGATTAGCAAGTCAAAGATTCAAATTCCACAAACCTTGATTAGCCTACTTACACCTCATTTTTCTCATCTTTCATCTGCTTCCCTCCTCACTTTCATTCTTGTTTGACTTTTTTCGTTTCCCTCAGCCTTAAGTGTTTCCTCTACCTCTCTCAATTCAACGCACAAATCCTAATTGCAAAAATCCTGACTTCCTTACCCGTAATCTTTAGTTTAACATCGATTGTAAAGTATCAAAATTACGAATACATCATTTCTTTTCTTTCTATTCTTTCTCTTTATATTTTTAAAGCAATCACGCCCACAACTAGTCAGTGAATTTCTTTCACTCTAACTTAGAAAAAAAGATATACTACTACGTAGTATTTAAAATTCTAATAGCATACTAAACAATGCCGATCATCAACTACAGCAAATAGACTTTCCTCAATTCAGAAATGCTGAGTTTCTTAAACAATAGACATGATGGTACTTATTCCAGTTCCATGTCATGATGTGTACATTTAGACAACTTCAAACCCAGCCCATGGCAAGATTTATACTGGGTGGTTTTACAAGATACTCATTTCAAAATTGTTTTGAAACCCCTAATTTAAAATATTCATTGAACATTTCACACTTAAATTTCACAAACCCCTCTAACCAATGCATTTTCATACCTCTAGCTTTCACATCTCAACTCTGTATATTACCGGAAGTTTGTGTCCACATAGAAAATAACCAGATTTTGATGGTTTTACAGCATACCTAACTAACCTAAGTACCAGAATATATTTCATGAACAATTCCAAATCACATGTCAAAGGAAACTTTCACGACTTTTTGGTGACAAATTATAATGTGTATCCAAGAGGCCTTAAGGGTAAAGCTATGAATTTCAAACTTCAAGAGCAAGCGAAAGCCTAGAACTCAAACCATGTCTAGTCAACTCGTAGAGTTTGAAAAGCTGCTCTACTAAAGCTTATCAGTCATGGCTTAACCCAATCTAGTAGACCCCAAGGTCACAAAAGAAAAGAACATGAATAAGGGCTCCAAATGCAAGAAGATTATGTGAAAGTGCATCATGTACAGTTGGATAGCTAATAGCACTCGCACCCACTATAAAGCCATTAGCATTCGAAATCAGGACTCTAGTCTAGGCATAAAAGTCTGTTACTTACAGCATACCAAGGCCTTTTCTATGCTAATCAAGCATAGATTGATGGACATTAGTCGCATCTAAATTTGCTGAAACTTGAAGGAGATTTCCCATTTCCCTTCCCCATGTTGCCCCCAATACAAGCTCCTCACCTAGTCACCGCTTTCCTAGCACATTGCTCGTAACGTCATAAGTGATTTGTGAGAACAGTAAATACTTTCCCTGGATCTTTTTATCATTACTCCATGAAGTATATCATCTTTCAGCTCCAGGGGTTTAGCTTAAAGTCCAACTTAAATAAGTGTATGCAAAACTACATAGTATAAATCAATAAGAATATGTCCATAAATTGCACAGTTCCAGCTTATCTAGAGATCAGAATATGTAACATTAAGTCCAGTGTAACTAATTAACACAGAGACTACAGCCAAGTACCCAATAATAATCTGATTAGCCTGTTCCAATTCTCGCAGAGCCCTGAATACATCTATTCACCAAGAGAAGTAAGCATACCAATCCCAAACAAACAAATAACAACACAATAGTTCATATGAGGTTCTTCATGCCTGACTTACTCTTTGAATATCTCGTTCATTTTCAGTCTCCCTTCATCCGTATTACCCTGTAAGGAAACCCCAAAGATTCTTAAGGTTTATTGAACAGAAACAGACCAGGAAAGTCAAAGAAGGTATGCATGCATCAAATAAGTTGATAATAGCACATGTATGTCTGTAACAAATGAAACCAAAACAAAGAACTTCCTAGCTTGTGTACAGATGCAAGAAATTGACCATAAGTTGATAACAATGAAATGGCTCACATCAGCCTATTGCAAGGTGAAAGAACCATCAGCTACGCTAAATTTACAATTGCCAAAAACAGTAATACGAGCACAAGAATTCCAAAAAACAGGATAAAAAAGTACTGGCTCTCCTCGATATAATTCAAATAAATACTGCTACAAGTTCTGAATTGCTAAAATCTTTGCAAAGTTTGAAGATAATTAAAGCACCAGATAAGGCTCCCCTACATAGAAGACAGCAATATATAACCCTTCCCCACCCCCTATTCCCCTCCCAACACACGTGCACACACATTAGAAACTTATAAGCAGAATGAACAATCAACTCATTAACATTACAAGGCAAAGTACAGAGTTTGATGAATAGTACAGTACAAAAAAGTTTAATTATAAATTAGGGAAAAGGAATTGGTAACCATACCGTGGCTTCCATCTCCGCCTTGATTTCCTCGAGACGTGGCCTCATAATCTATATATGATAAATAATTTTATGTTACATTCAAGATTATACACTCTTTGATGGTAGGCACAAAGTGTTAATTGAAGTTGCGACTTGGAAACTAAAGACAGTGAAAAAAAGTTTGGGTATCAACAAATCAATACCGTCAACTTAGCAGTGGCTTTGAGCTGACTAATCAGGAAAGGGACAGTCACCCCACGAATCATCAGAGTCGTAAGAGCTATTGAAGCCCACCTAAAATTAAGGGAAAATTCCACAACATTTAGAGAGCATCCATCAACTTCAAACCTATATAAAAGGAACAAAGAAGAATCATTTCAGATTCTCACCAATTCAAACCAGTAAAACTGTGAACCCCATCAATGAAGTACTGCAAAGCAGCAACTGGTATAGCAGAATCCGCAGCAGCAGTTGCCACTTCACTCAAAACAGGGGCCTGAGACGCAACCGCATCCACCGTGGTATCACTCATAACATCGGCAACATCAGTAATGAAACCAACCTTATCTGACTCTTCCCCAACAGAAGTTGACATATATCTATGAAAACTAATAGCCCCAGTTCCATGTCCAGGGAAAAATGATCTTTGATGATGAAATAAACTACTGGATGCCAAAGAACAGTAACTATAAGTTCCGAACGACCTTCTTTCGGCTAGTAAATCATCGATTTTCCGCCGAGACGACGATTCCGGCTTATCATTGTTATTGTTCTTGTCATTGTCATGAGAAATGTAACTAAAACAAGGGTTGATTCGTCGAGCTAAAAGGGTAGCTCGAGCACAAACACTACGCCTATAAGCCATCTTCAAATAACCAAATTAACTAAATTTCTCAATCAATTAAACAAAAAGATTGATACTTTCAGATATCATCACCAAAATCAGAACCCTGAAATCATCAAATCACCAACAAACAGAAAAATTGACAGCAAAAGTTAGCATCAATCAGAGCAGTTCAGATCTTATGAATATCAAACATAATTTTAATTTTTTTGAACAAATAAAATTAAAAAAAAAAAATAATAAAAAAAAAAAAAAAAAAATAAAAAAAAAAAAACAGAAAATGTGAAGATATGAACTAGGGTTTAGGGTTTAAGCAAAACCCAAAAAACATATGCTTTATAATTAAGATATAAATCATTAATCATATAATGGGGAGAAATTAAAAAGGGGTCTAACCTTTGCGAGAAATTAGGAGCAGAGGATAGAGAAAATGAGGGTTGAACATCGGCAAAGTTGAAGAAAGGGAGGTTGGGCTGTCTGCTTGATCTGCTGAGCGAGACAGAGCCTTCCTCCGGAGTATTGGCGGCGTAGTGTTTATTTTTGGTAATTTTGTACAATCACAAAAAGTCAAAAACACCCCTAAATATGAACAAAGAAAACATAAAAAAAAAAAAATTACGAGTAAAAAAAAAAGGTGTTAAATACTGGCATACTGCCATTCAAAATGATCAAAACCGCCAACATATAGTGTGAATTGACAACCGTACCCTTAGTATTTCACCACTATCTTCTCTCTTGCCACCACCTTGACACCACCACCCAATTGACAAATAACACCACCACCACACTGAACGGCGACGATGACCGCCACCACAACCACCCTAACCAGCGTTGACCACCACTATCACCTTGACCGGCGACCAACCACATCCCCCTCAAAGATGACCCACCGCCCTCCCTCTTTGGCGGAAAGGTGGTGGTTTTTTTTTTTGACAACCGTACCAACCGGAGCTCAAAATCCGTTATCGGGCACGATAATTGCTTTTGGGCTTCGGTTACCATGCGTGGTAACCGGAGCCCAACTCCGGTTACCACGCATGGTAACCAGTTTTGGGCTCCGGTTACCGCCCACGGTAACCGATTTTGGGCTTCAGTTATCGCGGTTGCCTAGAATAATATATATATATATTAAACCACCACCTTTCCGCGCGGCGAGGGAAGGTGGTGGGTCGTCATAGAGGAGGGTATGGTGGGTCGCCGATCAGGGTGGTGATGGTCATCGTCGCTCAGAAGGGGTTGTGGGTCACCGAAAGGATAAGGGGTGGTGAAGTAATAAGGGTACGATTGTCCATTCACTCCGAATGTTGGCGGTGATGATCATTTTTGTTGGCGGTGTTTAGCAATTCAAAAAAAAAGGTATTATTGCAATTTATGAAAATTGGTTTGCATCCTACGAGTAGCAATATGTTGTGTGTGGTCTGTGTCATCAAACAATAATACGGAGTGCCTAGTATTTTCAACTACTCTTATTGTATCGTATATGTATTAAAGTGTACATGATTAATCTCATATATTTATCGGCTATAATCATTAACCAATTATCTACTTTATCTAATTAGACTCAAATTGATATTGTTGATACTGATTTGAGATTGAAGTTTTTTTCATGCACGAAATAACTTGAATTGTTGATGTCATGAGATTTACTACGTATTATAGTTGGATTTGATCGTTAACATTTTTAACAACTATATATATATTTATCATTTATGATGACTTGTTGTTCGTGGCTTATGTATTATACTCTTGTTGTTCCATAATAATGATAATAGTAAATGGTTTTATAAGAATTAGATGAGATTTTAAAATATATTGCACTTAATAATGAAAATTCAAAGGTCAGTTAAAACTTACAAAGTTATTCATTAGGACAATATATAAGGCTATAGGCTTTAAGTCTTGTTTCTCTTGAATAAACGATGTTCAATTGATCATAAACTTAGACTTGACCAGGGGCGGCGGAGCAACTTGAGCGACTGTACAGGGCCTCCTAAATATAGAGGCCTCAAAATTAGATAAATAATCATTGTGAGTATTAAATAAAATAGAAATCTCCTTAGCTTGCTGGTTAGAGCAATGAGTTATGAAAGGTAAGTCAGAGGTTCGAAATCGCGGTCCTCGAAATTCTTTGCCTCGCCCCTGGACTTGACATTATACCAACACAACCCAACTTGAATAACCTCATTAATGTTACGAGAGGAGAATACTTTCTGTAATTACATTGTGACGAGAGATTTAGAGGCTAATAAGAACAAACTCATTGCAAATAATGTTATTATTGCTAATTGCTACTACAATAATTAAAGTTTTATCAAGTCTATAACACAGTGCAGTTGTACTTGGCTTAAGAACAAATAATCTAGCCTCTTTTATTGCAAGGAATTCGAATCTTCTATCCCACATTTTGTGTACCACTCGTGTCATTTTCTTACATTGTAACAACTACTTATTACAACTGCATATAACCTTTTTTTCCTCGTATAATTATTAAAAACTTCCTCATTCTTCATCTTTGTCTCCATCATTTTACCCTGCACAATAATCACATGTAGCTAGAGTAAGTCAGTAAGATAAACTTTCTTGTGTTTCAAAAAGAGATTAAAAAATAAGGACAGAACACATAATCTTACTGGGAACATTTAAAGTTTGGACTGATGGGAGGAAGTTTGAGTTTCAACCCACACTGTTTAGGAAGAGCAGAGATGAGTGAACCATCAATCTGTCCTATAATAGGCAGTACAGACTCGAGACATTGGCAAACACCCTGTCGTTTCTTCTTGCTTTGCGCGAAATGCTTCCATACATACTTAGCGCCTTGACAGCAATAAGTTGAGGGTGAGGAGTATTGGTTGTGGAGGTAAGGTAAACACGGTGACAGCTCGTTAATCACCTGATTACATGGAATTGATGCCTGTCCTCCTGGCTGTCCTAGTTGTATTTGGCCTGTCACGGTGTTGCTGGAGAGCACTAAGAGAAGAGCTAAGAATGTGATAAGACAACTCATATTTGTGTACTTCAGTTCTAGTTCTGATGTTTTTTTTTCAGACTGGATATATTTAAAGGTATAAATAGAGGGTAGCGCCTTTGTTGATTGCAAGCATGTACTACACATGACTGCATGATTTAAGGATATTAGTTGAGTTTCTTATGCCAAAAAACATAATATCATTTTGCAGTGTATGGTTCACACATTTAAGTCTGTTTCTGAGTTAAATTTTTAAAGGAGCAGGAGTTAAGGGAACAGAAAACTGTAAACAGAGAAATAAAATGCAGAGGCAGCCGAACTGATGCACATACCTACTGCAACCCAGCTGGGGTAGCCGCGTTACTTTTAGCATATACAAGGTACGAGTGTTTGATATAAGTACATGCTAAAGTGTCAAATACATAGAGGTTCACAATTTCGAACATGACATACTATGTACATAATATATATTCTTGATCCTAAAAGACTTTTGCATGTTCTTCACTTTGCATATACAAGAAACATAGTGAAACAGATATTTAAATAGATCTACTTGCTAGATTTAGTTATGATTCTCATTTCAAGCCAAACCTACAAGTATACTTCACTTCTCCTACTATTTTTTAAGGTTCTTTCCTCTACATTATTGAGGTGAGGTGTTGCAGTAAAAGTTAGTACTGGGTAAGGACAACCCTTGTCTAAGTGTCAACTATCCGACACAGATAACTATCATAAGATACATGGGACGTAGAAGAGTTAAATTATACACCGTGTATTCCATTCTACCAAGTTTATGTTTGATAAAACAACACTTCCTGCTTGTCAATTTATTGAGCTTGACAAGATCAAAGTAAAAAAACTGCATGTAGATTGATGTAAGCAATAAACTGTGACTGCCTTTTAAATAACAGCATTGATCATAAAATTCAATGAATGGTATTTGTGTCTGTATAATAACCCCAAAATTTGTGTACAAAGATGCCCAAGAATTCTATTTCCTTTTTCTTTTTTCCTAAAATAAAAAACTATTGTATATACAAGCAACAATGAATCAATGCTAATGATCCAAACTACGCGACAAGGAGATTTCAAGGACCAAGCAGGAGTTAGCTGGCTAGCTGCCAGCAAGCGCAGATGATGCTTGAGGTGAATTTCTGCAAAGAGGGCAGGTGGCATTCATTCTCAACCATTCATCTATGCATTCGGCATGGAAGTAGTGATTACAGTCTGGTATAGACCTCAAGGTCTCTTTGGGCTCGTACTCTGACAAGCATATAGGGCAGGTATTGTCACTGGGCTTTGGGAGTCGTTTACTTTCTCCTAGAATGGTTTTCGGATAGGATTCTATGGTAGGGGCATCAAGGCCCAGTGTAATGATAATTGGTTGCGGAAAGATTGAGGGCGAGGATTCAGTGTTTGAGTAATGTCGATTCTGATTACGAGCACTAACCCTGCTGCTGATGTAGAATGTCAACCCAATAATGCATAGAAAGCCTGGTATTCCAGCTCCCAGCATTAAGCCATATTTGGCGCTTTTTGGTAAACCTGTAAAGAAGTAAATGAGCGAATTAAGAGCACATACAGAAGTATTCTGATCAGGTCTTGATTATCATCTAGTGTGATAATTAATGCTGTTTTAGATATCTTGCAAAATTGCTTCCATTTACTAGAATACTAACAATTATAATCCAAATCAGAGTAGCACTTCAAACAGAAATTGGTGAAATTTAGAAAACTGGACATTGTGTGTCCAAAAAGGACTAGACAAACCCCAAATTCTTACACTACATGTAACACACATTATATTTGAAATGGAGGTCATTATGAAACGAAGGAAGTACGCGATAACTTACATAAGTCACATACTCATTAACTCATATCAGGGCACCAGTCCACAAATCCTGATCAAGATTATGATTCCTGCCCAGGACTATTTGTTACTTACAAATTACATTGCCACAAAAGTGTAATGGATAAGAATGTGAAAACACGTAATGTAACAAAAGAAACAGTACCAACATGAAATTGAATTTTACACCTCTTAAATTTTATCTAGGCATGGCTTGATAAATTGGCTCTCGCCAAAGGTGTAACAAACCAAAATTTTGGAATACGAAAAGCACTGCTCACACGGAGCATGTATGGGGACAGAATTGAAACATATAGTACGGGTTCACTGCCATACTTAAACCGATTAAAACCCAAATCTTGGAGTGCAAAAAACAATAACCACACGACCATGTATGGGGACAGACTTGAAAGGAACATTAGGGGCTCACAGCCTTACATAGCTACATAGCTTTCGACATCAAAATGGCCATCAGAACAACCGTACACACAAAAACAGCAACAAGCTTCCAAGAGTATAAACACTATATATTTCTTATACGTAATACTCATATACATGGTAAGAGCCAAGGAGTTGATGTCAACTTCAGTGTGTCATGGCTCATTAGAAAGTAAGATGACACCAATTTAATTAAAAAGTTTTACAAAGAAAGGAAACCTCTTCTGCCCACCTTCCGTGCAATACAAGATGTGAAACTCAATTAACTAGACCACATTAGTTGAAATGTCCACATCTTAAAACCTACCAAGACAAGTTCACAATTCGTTTTCATTTGTTCCTAATTATAAATTCAGCAGTTGTTAACCTAACTATGAATTTCTTAAATCAATACCACGTCAGTATACCATCAGCAACCTGAATTGTATGTGTTTATTTGATCTTAGCTACTGCGCGCTCAAGTAGAAGCAGCAAATATTAACTTACTAACTTCGTACAGGAAAGATTTTACGATTTTTAACAACCTATGGAATTTTCAAACAAAATATCTTATGGAGTTTAATTAAGGTCCTTATTCTATAGGTATTTGGTAAATGAATTCTCACATTCGCAATAAAATGACTGCTAATATGTACAGTCATACGGAGTAAGAGTTAAAAACAAATTTGTTTTCTGGCAAATGCCATCAGAAGTTCAGAACAAATGGTTGTTTACAAAAGCCAAAATTGACTACACTACCATTATAAACTGACTTTTATAGTCTTTAAGTTTTGAATTCAAAGAATGATTTGATGTATTTACTAGTAAATATGGAAGCTCGTAGATGACTTTTATATTTTTGTAGCATGAGAAAGTTGGTAATGCTATATGTATCATGTGAATATCATACATCACACGCCGCTAATCCTATGAGGCTATGTATTGATTCCCCTTATTAGAACATACTTGATTGGTCATTATGTTAGACTAATCTTAAATAGCTTCATATAATTATCATTCTATACTTTTCATTGACATATAAGGAGAAATATATTGAAGATAGCCAGATAGGTACGTTATTTTAAAATGTCAAAAACAGACCATCATTTTAAAACAAATCTTTAACTTGTACTACTCTTTTCACACCCTATAACTCTATAAGAGATCACATTTGAATTGCACTCCTGGCTACTAATTGACCCGTTAAACAAAGGGTGTAGTATTGAATCATCCGTTAGTACCCGAGTGGCGTGTTCGGCCTGGCGTACTACAGTCAGTCAATACAAGGCATCTCAATTCCCAACTCAACCACATTATACAGAACAAGTTAATCATGGACTACGGGAAAAAGTTAGGACAAGCATGTTTTTCCTCCAATGGTTCAATGATCTGAAGTTTAAATTAGACATATAAATCTAGGATTAACTATAAACGCTATGGAATTTCACTATAGCTAAGTTATTGTGTACCCCTAAGGTCCTTTCTCAAAGTGGCATAACAATTTTGTAGGTATACTCGTTTGTCTGTTTTATGCAACAACAATATACAAAGCATCGTAGCAAAGATAGCACTTGATCGAAAATCCTACATCAAGAATAAAGTTTGATAGCGAAATCACCCCACTAGTGATTGATTCCACGATCATCGATTCCCCATAACGTAATATTCCCTCCATCCCACGATCATACAATACAACAATAAACGTCTCTTACTTTCAATAGGCTCCTAATAAGCCTGTTTCAAAATTTAGCTAGTTAGACGTCTCAAATAACATATATACATGTGACATTATTTAGGTAGTGATTGTTATATACACCCGGATGCACTGTCATTTAGTTGGGTGCAAGATGCATCCGGGTGTACATAACAAATTCCAACGAACAATTCACGATTAATCTCCTTGATAAACACGAAAACGTAGACAATAATACTCACCCGAAGAAGCAGGAAGGTAGCAACCAACTTCGAGACCCGAATCACCAACCAAGCCACAAGACCCACCACGTAGCATACAATTAACGCAACTCGGAACATCCCAACTCAACTGCACAAACACGTCACTCATATCCATCGGAAACACACCGTATTCCATCCCCCTCCACCAAAACGCAGCGTTTACCTTCTTAACCACCTCACACTTCCTCCTCATCTTCGCCTCCGACACGTCATCAAACGCAACCACAACCGTATAATTCCCGCCACTCATACACGAAATTACCGAAACACCCCCAGGTAGCTGGTCCGGGTCAACCTTCGGGCCGGAGCAGTTCAAAAAGGTATAAGCCGAATCATACGGCCCATAACCAAACGGCATAAGCTCCGAATAGGAAAACTCAAGAACCCGTTTAGGAATACAATGATTCGGGTCGGATACCCAAATGAGTTGATCCGGGTATGATATACCCTGTACAATAAGATGATCGGGTTTAAAAGGCAAAAGGGTTTGACCCGCGGAGTTGCAGGAGAGTCCGAACCCGGGGTACCCGCACCGAGAGGTTTGGTTATCGGGTACCCAAAATGGGAATAGGATCGGGTCTCTTCTGTGTTGGTTGCACGAGAAGGTAGAACAGAGTTCTGCAACAGCTTGAAGATGGTGTTGTATGAAGAAGATGAAAAGGAGAGAAAAAAGTAACGGAAATGTTCGCATTTTTTTTTTTTTGGATTTTTAGGGGGGTGTACTTTTGGCGCTGTAGGAAGTGAGATTTTGGAGGGTATGGAATATTGGGATTTGGGGTGTGTATGATTTGGAGGTAATTTTGGGATTTGGGTGATTAGTCAATGTGTTGTCATTTTCTTTGACAAGCACTAATACTCTATTAATATTACGATCTTGCTAACGAGCATCCCGGGATGTTAAATAAGGATAAATTATATTGGTTGAAATGGTATTAAGTTAGGAATTCATGACAAAATCACGCGTCGTTCGGTGTAATTAATGTTAATTTTACTTTAATATTTGTACTTTAATTCTCTTGTCTAACGCCCCCGGGGCGCTCATTAGCTTTTGCCTTAATATTATTATGGATAACAACTTGAACTTAAACTTGTACTCCTATAAAAATGTGGTTAATCTTGGATTATGGATTTTGTCTTTACAATGACCACAACAACAACAAAATATCGTGTGGGAATCACGGATGCGAGTATGTATTAGTACAATTGTTTTCTAAGAAGAGGCCGGTGGGAGAATTGAGGTTAAATTATGATTTAAGACGGTATAATGGATAGATTATATTTTAATCCTTATTTTAAATTTAAATGAGCTAATAAGTTTGGATAATGTAAGTTAGTTTATGGCCAATTAGATTACAGGACTTAACAGTGGCCTTGTTTAGTAAATACGAGTAGCTTTTTAACGGTCTTGAACAACTTATTAAGGAATATAATTGGTTTTGAAAAAACTAAGTGTACGGATCAATTGGGCATAAAAAAAGTGTTTTGAAAAACTCAATATATGAGCCTCTTTGAAATTAGCTTATTGAATATTTAACTTTTGGCTATTACATACACTGAAATAGCTAATTGTTAACAGTTATTTACCAAACATTATTACACAACCAACCAACCAGATAGTCATTAATAAAATCAAGTCAAGTAAATTATATCAATCACTATCAGCTATTTATCAAACAAAGACAATATAAATTAATGAATTAATTATTCAGTTATTTTCGTAGAATTAAATTCATTCAATTATAAACATTATATATATACATACCAAAACCAATATACTACTAAATAAAATAATTTTGTAATAAAATATTATTATAAAACAATCACCGAACTTCGTAGATTCATTTCTTATCATTTTCCTTAAATTTGGTATAGTACGATATGACTCGATCGATTAGAATTTAACTCAAACTCGTAACAATAATACAAACTTAATTTGATATACTCAATAGATTTAGATTTGACTTACTCTTGAAAAAAAACCGACTAAACTATATTCAAACTATTATTAACGTAATGTAATTTTAATTGGATATTATAAAATATACGGAGTAATATCCAAATCTCTTATTACCAAAAGAAGATATTTGACATTTATAAATCAGTGATATACTTTGTAATACTCAAACAATAAATCTAAGAGCCTTATCACATTTACTGAACTGAATTGAACTAATTGGAGCTGAACTGAACTGAACAAAACTAATTGGAGCTGAACTGAACTGAACTGAGCTAAAATGGATATCTTATGAGAGAGGGAAATTAGGAGCTGAACAGAACTGATTGGAGTTGAAATGAACTGAAATTAAGTCAATGTGAACAGGGCCTAAGTTTGACTTATACAGTTACACTTGAAATTAAAGTCTTGTTTACTTCACCTTAAAAAAAATTAATGTTTAGTAAAGATAAAATTAGTTCAGTAAAAAAAAAAATCAATTTAGTAAAATTAATTACATTTTATTAGTAAAAATCAGTAACATTAAAGAAGAAATATAACAACAAATTAGTAAAATTAACTTAAATTCAGCAAAAATTATTTAAGATTAACAAAAATAAGGTGAAGTATACGGAACCTTACCGATAGAAAAGACTACAAATTCTTTTTAAACTATTAATAATTTAATATTAATAATAATTGGGTTTTTCTACATTATAACCCTCTAACTTTCCGTATTCTACGACGTGCCCTTCTTTTTGAGAAATCTACATTGTAACCTCAAAATACATTTAGCTTCTATACGGTAACCTTGCCGTTAACAAATTCCGTTAGTGGGGCCCACTCGCCACTTAATAATATTTTTTTTATCGATTTGCGTGTTGAAAATGGTTCCGTTTAAGGTTTTGGGGGCTATTTTGGTTCTAAAGGGACCATATTGAGCTCAGATTTAGCAAAAAAAATAACACAAATGCCTCGTACTGCATATTAAGTAATGTCTCAAAATGCGTGTTTATGTATTTAATATGCAAAACGAGACATTTGCGTCATTTTTTTTTCAAATCTGAGCTCAAATTGGTTCTTTAAGGCCCAAAATAGCCCCCAAAACCTTGAAAGAAACCATTTTCAACACGCAAATCGATAAAAAAATATTTTAAAGTTATGAGTGGGCCCGACTAACGGAATTTGTTAAAGGCAATATAACGGCAAGGTTACCGTATAGAAGCTAAATGTATTTTGAGGTTACAATGTAGATTTCTCAAAAAAAAAGGGGGCACATCGTAGAAAACGGAAAGTTAGAGGGTTATAATGTAGAAAAACCCATAATAATTTGATTTGGATATTACCAAAATATTAAAATTGAAAAGCATTAATATCCAAAATCACTTCTTACCAAAATAAGAGATTTGACATTAATTCAATAATATATTTGTAATAGTCAACCAATCCAAATTAATGTAAAAATAATTTTAATTACCTTAAGATACAATTGAAAATAAATAATATCCTATCCAAAATCATCACTTACTAAAAGAGGAGATCTGGCGGGAAATATCATGGCGGTCCTTAAAATCAATAAAATCCCTAAAACCAAACCCCTCTTTTCACTCATTCTTCTCTCACTGTACTTCATTGCCCTATTTATGCAATTTTCAGCGTTTTGCTAAATTCTAGGGTTTGATTCCTAATTTCTTTCCTCAAATTTTCTTGCCAAATTCTCACAAAAATGGATGATGCTTTTGAAGATGATCGTGAAAAGGAGACTTGTACTCTCAATGAATACCTCGATGACCTCGAAGAACGCGAGATGGTATAATTTTCATAGCTTTAATTTTTCAATTTTTTCGTCATTTTCCTGATTTTATTTAGGGTTTTAGAGTTTGTGTTTGGTTTGATTTTTATTGATTGTTTTAATTTGGTGTTTGATTGTTGTTTTGAATTTTGATTACTGGAATTGAAAATTATGCCCAATTGCTGATGCATGCTATCATTTTTCAATTTTATGGTGAATTGTTGTGTTGAATAAAAAAATGATTACATTTTTGGATAGAATTTAGAGAAGGTTACTAGAATTCTGTAATTGAGAAACAAACATTATTACTTGATTTATTGCTATGTAGTACTTTGAGTTATTGAGGTTTGGGTTAATTCTGTGCCAATGTGAACTTTTGATGTGTATTAAGCTTTTTTCTTTGATTTGAAGTTGGATATAATTTTAAATCAAACTTATTGTGGGTTTATTTAAGTGGAAAATCTGAATGGATTGATTGAAAAACATAAATTTTAGAGTTGAAGAGAGGCAGCTAGGGAGCAGGTACTTGACTATGATTCTGTTAACTCATTGTCGTTTATAATTTCGTTGCTCAAGACTCTCTCAAAGGAGCCCTTCTGCTATAACATAAGGTTAGGCCAGGCACATATGAACCGCCTAAGCCTAAGACTTGATAGAGGCATTTGAGTACTGACACTATAACTATATCTCGGGCATAATCAACTACTATTTTCTAAGCCATTTGCTTGTGAAATTTAAACTTGAGTACCTTTCAACATCACATTCCCTAGTGTTCTGCCTTATTGATTACCTGCACGCTCGATGACATGTACCGCTTTCCTCTTGCTGACTGCTGGTAATATTCTTTATGTTATATGAGTTGGTTATGTTTGATGATAAATTTGGTCTGGCAATATCTGTCTGTATGCATTTGTTTATTATACTTGGTGTAATTGTCAAATTGTGTTAATTTTCTGTAAGAGTTATTAGCTTACATCTGCTGTTTTTGCTTGTTAGATGTTCATGATATTACAACTTTCATATGGTACAAACTTGAAAATGAGTGCGAATAGTAGTTTTTCTTCTACCCTATATGATATTGTAAATTGTGTTACAGGAAGCTGAAATGGTTTTGGGTGGTGATGATGGAGACGAGTGTACATACTCGAAAGGTTATTTGAAAAGGCAAGCTATATTTTCATGTTTGACATGCACTCCTGAAGGAAATGCTGGATTTTGCACTGCATGTAGCCTGTCTTGCCATGAAGGACATGAGGTAATGTTTATTCTGCTTAGAATGAGAATAAGTTTTTGCAAGCAGATTTATGTTGGCATGTCTGACTTATATTGGGCTGTCTGTGGAGAAAGTTAAGATTTATGGCAAGGCTATTGAAAATAATCTGGCCATATAGTTGAATCTTATATGGTTCTTAAGTTTTACATTCAAAGACCCAAATACTATAATATGGAATAATTTCATTTGCATTGCTTACTTACACTCGAAATCGTGGATTTTGTCTATCACATGTTCTTTGGTCATACAAAATATATATAATCCAGAATTTTCTACCAAATCTTAGTTGACCAATTATACTCTATAGTCTATATATCTACTTGCTTAAGATGCCTGTCCGGCTCTCCATGGTATATATATATTGCAATGTATGATCTTTATTCTTGAAATTCTGACTTAAGTAACAAATCTTTTTTCCAATGCTTTATAGTTCTTTTATCACTTGCATTTATGTTGCTCTATCAAGAGATTATACAAACTTATTTGAAATCTTGTGGAAAGATGATGTACCTTTGGAGTTGATTCTCTAGGCATTTCGAATTGAATATTTATCTGGAAGTGTTGAGTTATGATCCTACGGTTCTGCAAGATATCATATTTTAGATTTACTGTCCATTGTAAAGTTGTCTGAATCAAAGGGAGATGTTTCTTTTAATCATTTTTTCTTATGGTGCATAGCTTTTAACCTTCCTGTCTTTTTCTTCTGATTTTCATATGCCTGGGATTGAAAAGGAAAATAAAACGGAAGTTATTGAGAAAACAAACTAGAATCTAGGATTTTGTTTTACTGTGAGTTGATATTTTTATCTATATTCATCTCTCTGGTCTTTCTTTTCATGCTCCTATGTTGAGCATTTTGTCTGGAGGTGTGGCCTCAGAGACAGCCAGCTACATGAACCTTACGCACTATTGTTTATGTAGATTGTGGAGCTGTGGACCAAGAGAAACTTTAGGTGTGATTGTGGAAATTCTAAGTTTGGAAACTTCATTTGTAAGCTTCAGCCAAGCAAGGACATAGAGAATGCAGAAAATTCGTACAACCATAACTTCAAAGGTACA